TGGGTGATTTCTTTTCTGCTCATATTGTCGCTGATATGGAAATACGTACCAATGATGGAAAATACTGCCTGCAGTAAGGTAAAAATATGCTGGGGGTGACATATGTACTGCCAGACTTCAATGTGTTTTGTATCCGGGTGGCATTAGTACACTGCATCAAGGACGTACGGAACAAATCAACTGTATAAAAGCCTGTAATATCCGTTAGTGCATGTTCCGCTTTATTTAGCTTTATCGGAGGGTTCGGACAATGACATATGCGACTATGCGTCACTTCCTTTTATTCGGAAATGCGAATTTTAGAAATGGATAGAATTAGCACTCATTCCATTTAAATAACGTCGTATTATGCAGGATAATGGTAAAATGGCACCCCATGATGGGGCTTAACGTGATTACATGTATCTTACAGAAAAGTAAAACAGGCTGATGCATGGTTATTGCAAAGATTGACACATACAGAATCAGGACACAGCGATGTACATGTAGTTACGAAGTCCTGTATATAATTAACACGAGATGTTCTCCTGTTCGAAGTTGTGCTACCCCAAAACAACGCTTCTGCATCCAGTTTACCTGTCATAATCTCCAGTGTGGCTGTACTCATGATACACTGTAACAGACGTTTAGGCTATTACTGTGAAACTCTAAAATTGGACTCGATGGACCTTTTTTTGTGAACCGCACGCTAGTCGCAGAAATCGATGTCTTAGAGAAGTATTAGGACAGAAAAAATATTAGCATTTGTCAATGGGTTTTCATTTGTGAATCGTTATTTTTGTTTACCATAGAGATGATTTAAATATGTAAATTTATGTGACATACTTCAAACTATTTCAGTCTATTGATATTATTCTGTCTTCCACATTACATGGTGTACCCTTGTAATAATTCTTTTAATGCTGATTTTTTTTTTATCATTTTGCACACTGTTCAGCATTGCGTATTTATTTAAATCTTTTGTTAACAATATGCCCTAGGCTAAATGGACTATCTTCTTTCTGCGCAGGACATTAAAAAATAGTTGAGGTCTTTTTAATGTACATTTTATTGTGTATTCGAAATGACTTAACGAGAGTTGATTCAAAAGAAATGTCACAACTGGTCTTAAAATAAGTTGTGACGAATCTTAAATAACCGAAAGATTTCCCCCCAAAAAATTACTTATTGATACCTCGATCTATTTTGACTTCTGCCCCAAAATTTCATTCAGATTTATGCGATTAAAATAAACACATTGTTGGGGATCGTCTATCGTCGCAAGGCAAGAATGTACAGACCTCCTTATGGCGTTTATCTTCTACACTCAATTTGAATTTAATTACACGTACGATTTACGCAAAACGGAATGAAGTTAGAAATAACATTTGCGCAAGGCTCAATTAATTTGATACTACAACTCAAAACAAGACGGTGTAGATTATGAAAAAGAAGCACGTGAGAAGTTAAAAAGATATGCAGATGAACTGAGAATGAGTACCCAAAAGTATGACGTCATAATGACGTCGGTAACATTCTTGCCGTGCGGCTAAAGGGCACAACCTAACGTTGTGTTTATCTTAATATTTCAAAAAGTATTTTATATAAACAAAGGGAATTTTTAGACAAAAATGAAAATAGATACAGGTATTTATATGTCAAACTTTGTTGATAACATTTGATCATTTAAGATTTTATATCAGCTGTAACATTACTTTTGGGTCAACTCTCGCACCTGTTTTATACAAAACAACAGTACACATGATCAAATTAACTCTGATCGAAGGTCAATGAACCGTCAAAATACCTTGTTACAATTCCCCACTTAAAATAAACAAACAATGTTTTGAAAGTCTTTGATTTATATAAATTAACTTCTTGACAATTGGAAAAGATCATTATAAAAACTGAGAGATGTGTTCGTCTATCTTCTTGACAGGTTACAATGTGTTGCTTTTAAATTCGTTTATCAAATGCACTACAGAGCAACAAGAAGAAAAAAAAACAGAAGTAAAATCAAGAGAACACGTACATCATTTTTCAAAAGGACAAGCGGTTTGGTAGATTTGTTTTCTAATACATCATATTTATATTTATTTTTAAAATATTTCTGCACTTTTAAGTAAAGGAACAAATTGTTTATTGATCCTTTTGATATTTAAATAGCTGCATTCATATGCAAGCTTGAATAATGAAGGCCTAATTGTAAGAAAAATGAGCTAAAATTATTGCAAAAACAATTTGTTATTTACTTCTATATATTGTATCTTTACATTTTATTTTACAATAACATCAAATACTACGTTTCGCTGGGAAATATACGAACATAATGGAATGCAACTTTCATACTTATCTCAAAAAGATAAATGTTTGCTCGATTTTCTTATGTAAAGGATGAAGATCCACGCTAGAAAAAAGTTTATAACTAAAGATGATTTTTTTTATCTCAGCAGAATCGTTAAACTATGTTGCATGTGGTTGTTTAAAAGCATATATATTTTATGGCGTGTTTAATAAAGCCCTTACAATATACACATATTTAGAAATATTCAATCACTGTGAAAGGAAATCTTCTTATTTATTTTTTCTAGTGCAATATTTAAATATCATTTTTGGTATTTTTAGAAATTTTTGATGGGGATTAAGCCGATTTTTTTGTTCTATAACGGCAATTTTTCAGACCTCCTAATATTTATCAATACTGAATACAAACACCATTGTGTACATTCCTTGTCTTTAAATTCCTACAGTTTGTTTAATATTATTGTGTTTTCTTACTTTGTGAACCTGTCGCCTAGTAAGAGGGCGCTCGCTTCGTGAGGAAGGCCCGGGTTCGATTCCCGGTCCCAGCGCAGCGTCAAACCTAAGACGTTAAGCACTGGTAGTGACTGTTCCTTTGCCAAGCACCTTCGCACTAGAAGTGATAATCACAGGTTTTCTCGATGAGAAAAAACCGAGATCTCATGTCATGCAAAGCTTTGACACTAAAATAGAGTCTTAAGTGCTACAGCCGTATGCGCCATGCAAAGGCAAAAATTTGTTGCACTTCATCTAAAGCAGGTGACGTCCCTTTTGATTGAAAAATTCTCGAATAGGATGTTAAACAAATTTCAATCATCAATCAGTCTTAGATTTCGCTTTGTAGAAAGAGATTTCATACACGAGAAAAACTTTTCATCTCAGGCATTCAGATCTATGTCTATTAATGACTTTCTGTCTGTCCCCTTATACACGTAAACTAAAACCTTGCCTTGTCCCCCAAATTAAATAAATTTACTATGAATGATAAGATTGAAGAACTTGTAGGAAAAGAATGCATTTTAATTAATTACCTAAAGAGAAACATTAATTCTCCAATGCACGCATGCATGCATTCGAATTCGAAGCAATTCATTTATATTATGTTATTTAAAATATGTATCAAATTTATCAAATCACGCAGTCACGAAACTTCTAAAAAAATACAGGAGTTTTTCTTGAATTTATAAGGCTCCCCTGGGCCCTTGCCTCACCCGAAAACTCATTATTTACTGAACCGAAGTTTTTATTCTACGTAAATCAGGACGATTCACTCATGTACGAAACATTCAAAATTAAGAAAAATATTTAAATAACCCGTACAACAAAAGTGTCGAGGTATAGAGTTTTGTCATTGGCTGTGCTCTTCATTAACAACTATGCTTCAAGGTCATCTGGGGACAAGAAACAAAGAAAAGTGCACAAAATTATTGGCATATTTTCTTATATTTATTTTTATGCTTTTGCAGATATTTATGTGTAGAAGTGTGAACAGTGAGTGTCAGTAAGCTATATATATGATTCAGTTTCACTCCTTTTTGCAAGAAAATCATGCGCCGTGAGAACTCGTCTATTTTTGTAGATATTTGATGTGAGGAAACTCCATCAGTGAGGCATTATTTAGATTTAAAAATAATTTTACAATGTGCTTTGTTTTAGAAACGTTTTTGAAAGAAATAAGAATAAGTTTTTGTATACAATTCCATGCATGTATAAAATTTGAATTTTAAGAGTCATTTATTTTTCATTTATGTAGAAATCTAAATTCAATTAGTCCCAAGATCACGTCGCTTATTAAAGGAAATTTTTTTAAAAAAATTTAAAAAAAGTTGAAGGAGAAAAATTTTATTCAGAATAAGATTAAATAATAAGATGTATGAATAATCATGTAAAAATTAATATTTCAGGGTATAAGATAATAACAAAAAATGTAGGTTTGATTTCAAGTCAAAATAAAACGAGTATAAAATCAGGGGGAAATGAAAATAAAATTGAGTTGCAATTCAGTAGTGAACAAATCTTAATCCAATAAAGATTCTAGTTCTAGTTTCTTTTCCACCTAGATCTCACAAGAAATAAAAGTACCAAACATAAAACTAGAGTGTTCCAAACAACGCATGTGTCACCTGCTTTGTAGCTTTATTAAAGGTGTACATAAATCTAACAGTGCTCAGCTTTTTATTTACTTCTAGCATGAAAGTTCAAATGCATTTGCCTGCAAAGAAAAAATGGCTTCCATGGGTAGTATATGACTGCGATAGAAGCTGACATTCAAAGAAAATATGGTTCGATCCCCAACCCTCAAATGAATATTTAAATTGAAAATATTTGAAATATCTATTTAACATCTTGTTAATACGTGTTTCAACAATCCTCCAAAAGAGATTTCAGTCTGTGATTACTACAATTGTCAATCTACACGATCCATAGTGGAAAACCGATCCCGATGTACTTTCATGGTATTTAAATGTAAGTTTGTATGGTAACTGAATATCATAGTTTCAAAATTCAGTATCGTGAACTCGTAAACATGTATAAATGCTAATTATCAAACTCCTGCCTCTCAAAATTCAAAAATCATCAGTTAGAATAAACTGTCAAGAGTATTTTTGCAAAGTAGGTCAAAGGTCAAAGTCAAGTGGATTATAATGCTGGTATTTTTTCATATTGTCTTATTGCAAACAGTGCACAAATTCCTAAATAGCAAAGGTGTACCTCTTAAATGTCAAAAATATGCTGTTAATCGGCACTGTGAATTACATGTATTTAGAAAATTAAGTCAAAGGTTAAGGTCAAGAGTCTAGAGATCGGTAACCATAGTCATAGTGCCAAGCAATTACATGCAAAATATCAAATCCACACCTTTTACAGTTCTCGAGATATAGGGTGTGACAGACAGACGCCGGGTAAAGTAATCCCTTAGTACTGCAGTCTGCATGGGACACAAAACACATTAAATCACAAATAAAACGAAAAACAGTATATTGACTTTGGAAAACGTTGTAATGACTTGTGAGGGTAATCTCCCTTAGACTAAAAATTTGCGTATACACTATCATTTCTCAAATATTCTGCTATAGCCTCATGACAAAGCTGATATTCCTCCTAAAAAAAATAAATACATTACAATAATATGATTTTTTTAATCAGAATATTCATTTCTTTATTCCGAATAAGGATGTCGTTATAATGTACATTATTTGATAATGAATAATAATCACTCTTTTCATTTATTTCCAAACTAAGTATTTATCTATACTACAATACATTTTTTGAAATTTATAACATCAAATGAAACATAGTGTTTTCAAAACATAGCGTTGAATTGATCAATGTTACATATATTCTTGAAAATAAAAAAAGTTGAAAGTAGGTCTGTTAATACATACCAAGGTAGACACAAACTCCGGTCTACGGATCTGAAGTTGACGTGTGATGGTGAAGATATCAACTTCCTGATCCATTGAGAGTTGTTCCAGAGCGCTATACACCACACAGAATGCTCCACAACGTGTGGCACCATCACTATAAAAGTAATCACAGATACATTAAATTCCAAATTCTAACTACGCGTATCTCTTAGAACTGTTTAGTGTGAGTAATAAAGTAATTATTGTATATATGTGGTCTTGTACATTTTAAAGCCTTTGACAGAAAGCGTTCTAATTATTCTTTAAAATCTAGCAGAAGGCCATAAAAAGAATAAGTAAACAGATCCCTGTTTATGAGGAAAAGTAATCAAGATAATCAGTAAAATTCTCATGAAAAGTTAATTTTGTTTGAAATTACCTGGAGAGTATGAGAAGTCTGTTTCCATGATCAAAGTTTTCACTTTTTGCCGCCTTGACAATGTCCACTAAGTCTCTTTTGTCTGCGATAGATTGTCCTTCTTTCCATTTTTGGCATTCTAGCACAGTTACCCTCATTGAACTTGATCCCTGTTTTCCATGTAAAGGACTTGACGTATTTAATGCACACAATGGATAGAATTTTCTCTGAATGACCAAATAAAAAACGTTTTTGATTTAAATATTGCGGACTTTACAAACCTTTGGTTTAATAAGTATATTTGTTTTGGAAACATTCGCCGAATCTTCACAAGAAGTTAGCTTTATTGTGAAACTTCCAACAGTTTTCTCCATGTTTTTGGATGGGAACCAAAGAGAAGACTGAAAAAAGTGAAATTAAACTTAACAAGATGTAAATATTTCAAGAAAAAAATATCCCATTCCCCCGACCCCCCCCCCCCCAAAAAAAAAAAAAAAAAAAAACTATCAAAACTTAATATCCTATTTCATCAAAACATTTATAATAGTCGTAGTCGTATTTTTATTTATTTTGTAAATAAATTTTCTCATGATGTATTCAATATTACTTTTTTGCATCTTCGAAGTATAATTAAGGTCTTCCGTCTCCACGGAAGACCTTATAGTGATTCTATTGTTTCTTCTTCTTCTTCTTATTATTATTCTTTTTTTTTTAGACAAAATTTTGTGCACGCGATTTCTCGAAAACTATTCAATGAATTTCCTTGAAATTTTCAGGGATAAAAGGTCTTTATATGAATTTTATATAAAATTCCGTTTTTTGGTAAACTCGGTTCCAGTGCCAAGTTATGGACAATTTTCTGATTTTAAAATGCAATTTTGTCCGCGAGTGTTCACGAGAATGGCTTAAGATATTAACTGGAGACTTGTTAGAGATGATAGAACTTGACTTTTAGATTGGAGAGGGCACCTTTTCGTCTGTCGTCGGCACTTCCGGTCGCTTACGGAAGTGATCAAAGAAATCGTTAAATTTCAACTTTCCTTTTTTAAATCAATTCTTACATCATTTTATTGCATCTCTTTTGTAGTTTTGAAATATGTTGGTCCCACCGGAAACAAAAACGTCAACTTCCGGTTATAAGAGAAAAACGACATAATTTGAGTATTTTTCTTTCCCATTAATATCTATTGTAGATAAAGTATTTGGAATGAATTTTAAACATGTTATTCAGACAGATAATGTCAAGAGTAACCTCAAATATCTTTCAAAAATTCACTTCCGGTCGCGTGTTTTTCTGTCCTCAAAATGAGAAGTTGTCTGAGCAAGATCTCGGAAACGGTAAGAGATTAAGACACCAGACTTATATGAGTAACAGACCTTAAGATGTAGCAAAAACCATTTGGGTTCAGAGCGTCAACCGTCACTTCCGGTCGTCACAGGAAGTGATCAAAGAAATCGAAAATTTCAACTTTTCTTTTTTATTTAAAGATTGCATCACTTTATTGCATCTTTTTCGCAGATTCGAAAGATGTTGGTCCCACCGGAAACAAAAACGACAACTTCCGGTTATAAGAGAAAAACTACAAAATTTGAGTATTTTACTTTCCTATAAATATTCTTTATAGATAACGTATTGGAAATGAATTTTAAATATGTTATTCAGACTGCAAAGGTCTAGAGTAAACTTAAATATCTTTCAGAAATTCACTTCCGGTCGCGTGTTTTTCTGTCCTCAAAATGAAAAATTGTCTGAGCGAGATCTCAAAAACAGGTAAAAGATTAAAACACCAAATTCTTATGAATAGCAGACCTTGGGGAGTAGGCAAAACCATTTTGATAAACGCGTCCGTCGTAACTTCCGGTCGTCACAGGAAGTGATCAAAGAAATCAAAAATTTTAACTTTTCTTTTTTAAATTAAAGTTTGCATCACTTTATTGCATCTCTTTCGCTGTTTTGAAACATGTTAGATTCCACCGGAAACAAAAACGTCAACTTCCGGTTTTAGGTGATAAGCTACGTTACTTCGATATTTAACCTTCTCATAAATATTGCTTATCGATAAAGTACTTGAAATGTTTTTATGCATTTTGTAGATACTGCAAATGTATAGAAAAACGTCAGAGATTTTTTTATAAAATTCACTTCCGGTCGCGTGTTTACCTGTCCTCAGAATTAGAAATTGCTCGGCAACAGTAAACGACTGAAGTCTAAAACTTTCAGAACTGATAGTCATTCATCAGTTTATTTGAATCGCGAGGAAATCTTGTATCGCCGTTACTTCTGGTCGTGACAGGAAGTGATGCAAAAAAGTGAATGGTTAATAGTTAGCACGTTGGATTTTCACCCTGACAACCAAGGTTAAATCTCCAAAGTGTCTGAATTTCTTTTATCACCTTTTCAGCTTGAATTTACATTTTTACTTTCAAAATCGGACGGAAGACCTCTCATTGCTCGCAATGAGTTTCTAGTTATTATTCTTTTTTTTCTAAACTGAAATAATTCCAGTAAGTCAATGACATTGTGTGGACTACAATTCTTATATTCATTATTATTCTGGTGGAACTACCAGAGTTACTTACGGATTCCAAATCAGATAATGGACAAAGGAAGACAACCACACTGACATTCATATCCTTCACCAGTCTTAGGAAGTCTTCAGTGTAGTCTTTTAGTGGATACTGGGCACTGATAAGGCTATCGTGTTCTTTGTAAGACTGAAAAAATATCATTTCTTTTTATGAAGACTTTTCGTAAATCATGATTTGATACAATTAATTTTTAAGCCATGAAAGAATTGTAGATCACACATTTGTCACAGAAAAGGATATCATTAGAAGTATCGTTACAAGGGTTTTATTTGCCAGTAGCCCCTTTTCACAAAAACTATCCCACTAATTATAAAATATGATTACTGAATGTTTTTTTTCTTTGATAAAGATATTACTTTTTTCCTGAAGGATATATCAAAATTTATTGTAATGCAATAGAAATAGGAATATATAAGATTTTTGACCCACTCTAATTTATTTATTTATTTATTTTTTTTTTTTTTGGAGAGTTGAAAAAAAATATTTGTCTTGGTCATAAAATTTATTAGCAATATATTTAGACCGCGGTAAAAGGAATTTAAGGGCTCGCTAAACGATGTGCATGTACACTAAAGACATCTAATCCCATGATATTTTTGCAGTTAAAGTAATCTGCCATAAGTCCTTAACTAGATAGACTGAAATCCACAGTGCATTACATATTTTCAATTTGTAATCAATCAAGGTATTCTTAACATTTTGCTTGCGCGTATTTTCTCATTTAAGTAAGCAACAGTGACTTTTGTTTTTGTCTTAAAACATTCTTCCTAATGCTAGGTACCCTAGTTGAAATGAAATATATAAACGCAATATTTCCACATTTTTAAAGTATATGTTTTTTTTCAATGTCCAAAAAGTTTTCATTTTTATATTGAAGGTCTTTACAAAAACGCAGCTTCATTTATGTATAATTCAATTTGACATATTCCTTCAAATATACTTGACCTGGAGAAATACAGCGTTGTAATATGTTGATCTCCCTTTTGTATATGTTAACCGGCACATGAATTCTTCCACTGAAATGGAAGATTAATAAAAGGCACGAAGTTTTTATTTTTATTGAATCACTTCATTTTTACAAAAACAACCTTTATTTTTTATGAAAACAAACAATGAAAATAATTGAAAACAGCTCAAAAACTGACGTTTGTTAATTTTAAAACTTGATTTAAAGTTTTGATAATACCAGGAAGGACGTCCTTTGTGTAGTTGGCTTCTATATTAGTACGTCCGGAGTCATGCTCCACATCTGTATAAGTTTTCCTAAGAGACAGCAACTCCTAAAATAGTTACCATGAGTCAAATAGAAAAAGAAAGCAATGACATTTTTTTCCTTTCAAGAGCCCTGAACACAGTTGCATTGTTTACATGTTTAATTTCTATGCTTATTCAAAAAATAAAACCAGCTAAATGAATTAAACTAACATGAATTCAATGACACTGACATTCTTCCTTACATTACGTCATACATTAGTTTTTTTTGTAAACAGGGCACGAACTCTGTTATTGTTAATGTTTACGATTCACCGGGTGTGTCCAATTTGTTAAACTCTACACACAACACTGAGCATGGACTGAACATTATAGTGAGTTGGTTTTGCTTTCTCACATTTCTATTCTGAATTTTCTTGATTATAGTTTTGATATCTTTCATTAAAACACAACAAAATTTCTACATTTCTTGAATATTGGGGATAAAGTTTACTTTGTGAAAGTGCAAGGATGGGTCGATCAAACGCGTCCCGAAATTTGTAGTTTAAGTAATTTTCAGATAAAAGAAGTTTCTGAACACGCTTTATATATTATATATTATACAGAATATTTGAGAAAACATTAACTTCAAATCTGTGCCCGGGCTCCTTTAAGTAAGGAGAATTGCTGAGAATTTTAAAAACCAAAACGATACATGTTGATGTAGGTCAGCAGCAATCTTTAATCATGATTACTGCAGTTAAATGTACCTTAAAGTCTGAAGACAGAGGGTTTGATGTAACTTCTCCACAATTGGTGTAACAAGACTTATGTTGATTTCCTTGTAAAATTTCCTCCGTTGCGATGCATCTTGATTTCCCCACAAACGATTCGTAAAGTACCAAATAGACAGTCTTGTATTGTTCCTGAAAATTAAAATATGGTGAGATATTAGAAAGATTTATTTAAAAAACCATGATTTTATCATGTAAATTTTACACAAAAACCACAAATGAAAAAACAACTTCGATTACAAAGACTTATAAATTATCTTGGAAATGTCACACACAAACGACAAATAAAAAAAACAACTTTGATTTCACTTTTACATTCATGCACAACACGATTTAAATTTGATAAATTAAATGTGATTTGATTTTCTAAAGGTGAAAAAACTAATCGTATCTTTTAAATAAATATTATTTAACGCGTCATTAAATAGTGCATTTGACTACATTATTTTTTTTATAATGACTAATTTATTGTGAAATGCTATATAAATGAAAAATGAATCATTATTCTGTTCTGAACATACGATGTGAATGTGATAGTGGTACACATCGAGACTAAGATTTTTTTTTTTCCGAAGAAGAATTACAATAACAAATTATATCATCCTCCTTTAACGTCTGGAAATACGATATGCATTAATACTGAATATAAATTTAAATGATCTATAAAATATATTGTATAATATGTGTTTTCAACTTTATCGAATTTTTGCATTCAAAGCAGTCTTGATGTATATGATTACGATTATGCTAAAATGAGAATTGATTTTAATATAAACTTACCTCGCCTTGTATCATGTTCATTCTGTCTTTTCTCATGGTCCTGACGTACATCGGTACATTGATTTTACCATTTCTCTCCCCTTCCCGATAGAGGGCGTCTAAAGCTATGTATGTTCCTGTTCTACCGATGCCAGCACTATATTTTGAAAGTTAGAAGTAAGAATGTTTTTAAAATTCATAAGGAAAGATAAGATAAAAGAGAGAGAGAGAGAGAGTGGATTAAACCTGCAGTGTACAGCAATGTATTTTCCTGGGTATTTAGAAGACATTCTCATCACGTGACGATGGAATACGACGAGACTGAGTGGATCAGGAACTCCATGGTCCGGCCATCTTGTGTAGTGAAACATCACCACCCCTCTATCCTTTTGCTCCTGCAATCATATGTGAGATTCTGAATGATTAATTTCAAGTATAAACAGTTATAAATAGCATATTGTTTCAATTTTTAAGCTTATTCTTTTTTTTAAGTATTTCCCAACTATAATTTAAAAAAAAAAGATCTCCAATGAGAAAATAACAGAGAATTTTACAATTCCTCTGTTAGGATTTTTTTTATTACATTTACTTATTATTATTATTATTATTATCACTTTAGGTTTAAAAGGTGTAAAATGTTTGATATATTTCACATGCAAAGAAAGGACACTTTATTATTTAAAGCTTTTGCCTAATCCTGTTTGTTAAATTCAATGACAATTAAATATGTTCAAACTAATAATTTTATCCCTTGTAATGCAATGAATACAGCCTTGCACCTGCTTATAAATTATACGTGTTATGTAAACCATTTCACTACTTTAAGCAGTGTATGACGATACGGTATTAAAAATAAAGATGTTTTGACTAGTTCATTGCTTTGCTAACAAGGTGAAATTATTTCACAGTCAACCCATTTATTGTTACCAAGTGTCTTTAGACCTTGAATATACTCCTTTTTCCCTTTGTTTCTGATCTTAAATCATGCTCTTTGTTGATTATAATTTCCCTCTTTTTCATAATTTTAATCATTTTGTAGTAGGGTATATTCTTATACATAAAGAATATGTTAATATAAACCGTTTAATTAAGGAATAATATTATACATTTTTTGCATGATAGTGGGGGAAATATGAATATTTATTCAGCTAAGAAGTATCATATTATATATATTTCTTGGCTGAATAAATCTTCATGTTTCCCGAACATTCATGCAATGAATTGTTTATCATACCGAAACAAGCAAAAACTTTGAAATAAACATAAACTTTCAAATTCGGCACCGCTCTCAAATTCACTTTCATTTTTAACGTAAAGTTGATGAAACCCTTTGACACATCACTAATCATCAATTTTGTGACGTAAACCAGGCTATTGTGACGTTTACTATTCTCGGGATTTTCTTTTAACGAACGATAACTATTGCGGGAAAATTCATTAGGTATCCGAAGAGGGCGAATATGATGAAAAGCATGCCGGCGACCGTGAAATATAAAGTTTTTTGGCCCGATCACGTGATAATCTAGAACCAATCAGATAACGCGTTGCGTAGAATAATTATAATGAGGTATAACAAATACATTTGTGGTATATTTTTTTTTTTATATTATCATACACAGAGAAAATATCTTCATACCTGTATGAAGTTTTTCGAAGGTCATGGGTCATTACGTGATCTAATCACACAGCGCAGTAATATCTACATAAAAAAGACTTGCTCTACGTAGCAATCCCTATAGCGTGTTTTTAATGCATAAAAATGTACAAAATACGGAATTAAAATAATAATCATTTTATTTACAATGTAAACTAGTATTTAATACAGTTCTTGATCGATTTCACATAGAGAATAGAAAACTACGTGTTATAAGTTCCATGTCTGAGCTGCAGTCTCAACGTTTGTCCTTATTTTCTTGTAAACCTCTGAATGCTATAATCTTTTGTCATTAAACTTTACTCACAATGAATTTGAAAATCTGTTGGAAAATATCAATTTAATGCAATCACGCCATAAACAACGGACAAACACTGCACTTTGGAGGTTCGGTATGCACACCTCCATCATCGAGATCGTTGTCTTAACAGGCCCTAACGTAAGCTGTCGCCAGTGTCTCTATATTAACATCATAATAAACATGCCTTACGAAATCGGATCAAATTTTAAACTTGATTTCAAGTTAATTGGTCCGGACAGGTGTCTCCATCCATCCCTTTCCGACCGAAATTCCTCGAACTTTTTATTATCAAACATCAGACGTGTTTCTTGTGCTTTTAAACATCGAATATGGGTTCTCACGAATAAAAATTCCCAGACACCAATATGCTCACTATAATTGATCAGAAGTAACCCTTAACAGAATATTCCCTTCAAAACAAAATCCTTTGCCAGATGAATTTGAAGCGTAACCGCTTTTCAAGCCAATTTACACCTTGCGTAATTTGTCAAAATCTACGACGAACAGTTAGTGCAATATTCATATTCGATTGTCCGGCTCAAATGTATATATAAGTAATAAATAACAAGTTTAAAACTTCACTGGGAAATGAAGCGTGTCGGTACGTGATCAAATCTTCTGAGAAGGCCTTCGGCCTTCACAGGATTTGATCACGTGACCGACCCACTTCATTTCCCAGAGAAGTTTTTTAACTTCTTATTTATTTCTTAAACGATGTTTTTGCTATCAAAAAACTTTGCTAACAAGGTCAAATTCATTCTTAAGGTCATCAATTTAGCCTTACCAAGTGTTTGTAGACCTTGAATATACACCTTTTCTCCTTTTTTCTGATCTTTGTTGATTATAATTTCTCTGTTTTTCATGATTCATAATTTTAATCATTTTGTAGTAGGGCATATTCTTATGCATGAAGAATATGTTAATACAAAGCGTTTAATTAAGGAATAATGACGTTTTTACTACTTTTTACTAAACTTTGCTAACAAGGTTAAATCCATTCTTAAGGTCATCAATTTAGCCTTACCAAATGTTTGTAGACCTTGAAGTGTCTTTTAGTATAATTGGCATACACCTTTTCTTCCATGTTTCTGATATTAAAACCTCCACTCTGTAGTTTGTCGTTAATGTTTGGCCAGTACTGGTTGCACTTGTTCTAAATACGGAAATAAAAGATCAATTTTTTTTTTATAATTCATTTATTTCATATACAACAAGATGGAATGAATCCGTATATCCACCTGGAATAAAGTTAATATAAAAAATATTATCAATTTATATCCTAGGGATGATTTTTGAGACTGTTACATGTAAACACATTGGAATCGAACAAAATTTATTTTCTTTAGGGAGCAATGAGGCATGCATTAGTTTATATTGCATTCAAAAATTATAAACTCTTCAAAGTTTTTGATATTATTGTCTGATATCGATACTATTATGCAAAGGAAGAAAAGATACTGTTGTGTGTTTTCTATAGCTGACCTTTGCCCCTTCTTTGAGATTGGTCAGACAAACAATAATTGATACGTCCTCCTGCCAAACCATTTTCCAAAAATCAGCAATCGTCTTTGGCTTAGGACCTAACAAGAAAAAAAATAAATGAAAAAATGAAAAAAAAAAAAGAGAAGCAATCAAAAAGAAAAAAAAGAAAGAAAAAACCCAACAAACAATTCAGAACAGATACAAAATTGATGTACAAAACAGATGTTCTTTTAGTATAGAATAATCAATTTTTTTTTTTAATTTATGAATTTCACTATAAATCAAGTATTGTTTTTAAAAATAAAGGTACATGTACTTAAGTTTACCTTGCGTGGCAATGTACGAGCGTTTTCCCTGAACATCCTATAATTGTTAAAACACAAGCAAAATGAGGCGTATTTAAATGCTGATACAGTTTATTTAAAATAAGTCCGAATGCATTCAAGAAGAAATTCAAAAACACTAAGATAAAAATAAAAGAAAACGTTATCGTTTTAGCATTTTTTTTCTTTTAAAAACGCCTATTTGTACACAAAATAATCAACTAATACTAAAGTATAAGATATTGGATGAATATATTTTATATTTACATTTTCAATATATTCCCCCTATGATTTTTTACAAAATAGAAAACAGTTCATTTTCTCATGAACTACCATGAATGGGCATGTATATCTCCATTGTTACGTCATAATACTTACTTGACGTCAAAACTATAGTGCAAACTATTTTGCTTTAAAATGACAGTTGAATGGCGTTTTTTGTGGCAAATTATCAGAAAAATAATGTAAACAAGAGAAATGAATTAAATGTTTGAAAATTTATGAGGTACATGTACTACAACGCTTCATGCCGGCATATTTATCATGAAGCGCTACCGCGCTTCATGAAATATGCCGGCGTGAAGCGTCGTAGTTCATGTTCTCATGAATCTTCAAAAATTAATTTCTTAATAAACCTACCTCTATATAATTAGCATTAATGTAATCCCCTTCACTGGGAGATGAAGTGTTCAATACAACTCGGGAATGGTCATCTGTAGATTATAATTTTAGGCATACAGAATGTATATTCTTGATATGATGAATTTCTGTCTTTCAAAAATTGATATCTTAATATTGTAATATTCTTACATGGAAACGTCGTTTTGTATCTATTTTTAGGTTTATTTTCGGGTCGATTGGCTTCCTCACATGGATGAAGTTCGCCTTTTGGGATATCCTGTAAAGAAGGGTCTTGCTTAAGTACAGAGAACCTAAAAATGAGCACATGAGGTTCAATCATCATTTACAACTATGTGATAACCTCACCGTATAATCTAACAATCGCAATAAAAAATTCTGGATGGTTTTTATATCGCCCTTTACCAATCAACATATTTCTGAGTAACATTCTTCCAGATTTTATTTAAAAAATACCTGATATTCATATTGAAAGCCAGCATCCTCTATGGCAGACATTTTAGATATGATGGCCTGTAAATTGTTTACTGGTATACATTTATTCGTCGGGGGGCCTCTCTTGGCAGTCTCATTTGCATCATCATTGTCTTTTGAGTTATGAATAGAGTCTACATCATTTATGTAGTTGTCTGCAAAATTTATGTATCAATTTTTTGTACGCTTTACATTACCCTGTCTTACTATATCGTAAAGTTTGAAATAGGATAACCCAGAGTTATTCATTCCCATATTGAATGTATACGAAAATAAATGTGATGAACAAAATTTCCAACAAAAGTTTGCAATATGGTCAAATCATACTGCATTGGAATAACTATTTTTCATAGGTCATCAAAAATGTTGAATTCTTTCAAAAAATTACTTTTCATTAATATAATAGATTAAATAACAAAGTGTTTCATTCCTTTATTTTATATGTAAATGTTAAAAGTTAAAAGTTGCAATGAAGGACAGAGTATTTTCAATAATGTTTTCTTTGCCACTAAGAACATTACCCTATCTCCCTGATCAGGAAAAATAATAATTTATTTAGTTTTAAAAGAAATATTAAAATTTATTTTCAAAATTATAGTACTACTATGCCTTTCATAAACATGAATTATAATGTTTTAATAATGTTTTACAATTGGTCTTACGTTCTGGTGAGGATTCTCTGTTTACTTTTTCCACAATAGAAATATGCTTCATGTTTAAAACATCTTTCCTTTTAGTTGACGTCTCTGAAGATTTTCTTTTAAATCTACAACAATGTACATGTATGTTTATTCCTAATGTAAAAATATTGAATCAGTTTTCACAGATAGCGTGTAAAATAACATTCTGATAAATAAATAATAAAGATTGTAAATATGAGCCATTGTTGCTCAAAGGACAACGTTAAGTTACTCTTTCTTTATCTTCTTTGGGTCACATGACCCTGCTATGCGTACGTACCGTATAAGTAAAATGACCAAAACAACAATGACGATAACAACTGCTAACGGGACAACAACCCCAACAGCAGTAAGTGCATCAGATGAAGGAGCATTAGATATCTGATATGCTGTAACTATCCCTAAATGAAAAAGAACGAAATGAGCATGATTTTTTTTCCTATCACCATTAAACAACATATAGCAAATTATAAATATGCTGTGAGAGAAATACCATCGTTGCGTTCCCTCAATTATCATGCAATTGTAAAAAAAAAAATTAAACGAACCTCTAGAAGAAAAAAAAATGATAAGAAGATTATGCAAAGAAATTAAATAATAATTGTTGAATACGAAGGATAAATTTACATACCTTGGTCACATTTTTCCCCATAAGCTCCTCCCTTGCAACCAGCCAAACAACTTCCGTTGAATCTGTCACAAGTGCGATTTACACAATATTCACTGCAGGGTGATTGACAATTTTCTCCATAGGACTGATAGCACTCTTGAATTAGACAAAAAAGTGGTCCCCATATACGTAAAAAACAAAGCCTTTTCTAAATAATTTTATTCACTGAAAGTGAGTGAACGTGCATAATAACTGTGGAATCATCGTTCGATGGGGATCAATGTTCGTGGATTTCGTGTGTAACCCTCGAATTTACATCCACTCGGAAAATTATTTGTCAACGTATTGACTTATTAAATCTACAAAAATGACAAAAGCACATCCCCACAAACCAATAAAATTTTGCTTGCCCATGTAGACTCCCACGAATTTAAATGATTCCACAGAATTGCATTATCGATCCGTAAGTAACATCTATGAAATATGAAAAGCAAAGCAAAATTGAACTTAGCGAATTTATTAACAGATGCTTTTAACAGTAGATCCTGCTCTATCTAGGTGAAGATTTTGTTTCTATAAACCAGAAGTTTCTGTCAAAACTGTAACCCTACTGGTTTGTACATACAACAAAGGAAGAGAAAAGTAGCGCGTGGACTTAAAACTTTGCAACAGCAATAAATAAATAATAATCCTTGTTTTACTCTCTTTTTCGGCGAGATGAATTGCAATCAGGCTAAAACTGTTGAAGGAGTAGCCTCTGAAAAGATTTTTAGAGAAATTCCGATTTTAGTTACCATGGCAACATCATTCATCAAAATCAAAAACAATATAGACTATAAAGTAACTGTGGGGTACTTTACAAGTATGTATTAACACATATACAAACACGTATACAGATCCATAGGTTCTTTCCCGGGCCGACTCCCTGCTCCGCTGCTGTCCCTGACACGTCCTTTCAGCTCGGCATCCACGTGTAGAAGAGGTCCGTGCGACTATCCCGCCGTCTAAAGTAATACAGACAGTAAGTCGTACCACGGGACAGTCGCACAGATACTACACTCCCCCCTGTTTTCTTTGAAAGGCTGGAGTCTACCACAGGAAAGAGGGTCCGGAACCATCTCCAACGTCGGGGCGCTGTTAACACCCTCCCGGGCTAACTGACCAAGAATAAAGAGTGCCGGAACACGCTCTAAGCAAAACCACACCCAGGACTCATATTAGGTGTACAAATCCGGGATGAATCCCAACTAGGTGGTATATGTCCGGGATAATTCCCAGACAATTATCCTATATCCGTTTAAGGATAACCGAGTAGGCCAAAGGTCACCAGGCCCACTCACTACTGAGAAACTGTGACACCAGTAACACCATCAGGCCATGGAGGGTAAACTCACTCTCCGGCATCGCCCACGCCTCCGCCTTGATCTGTATAAACGACATGCACTGTTCTCCTCTCGTGTCGTACTGTCAGACGACAAGGGACTGCCAGAATCAAATGGGGTTGTCCTCACTTCCGCAACAATATCCTTCGTGACCCCATCTATATCTACCTCCAGGGTTGGGCCTTGGTCCACAGAACTCGGTGATCCCCCAGAAACTTGACCATAGGCTGCCTCATTCGAATGTTGGGCTGGTCTTGGGGAGAGAGATGCAACAGTGATATCCTCAATACCCAAATCCAGTAATGATTCCTCCATCATCTCTTCCACCGGGCCTGTCATACTAAGTCCACTTCCGGGATGGGTCAAAGGCACCACGCTGCCTAACTCCCCAACCAAACGAGGCACATACTTGGGAGAATCCGTCTCAACCATTTTGCCTCCTGTCAAGGTCACTCTCTCCTCCGGAGTCTTCAAAGGGGCAGCATAGAGCTCAACCTCATGCGTCTCACTACCCAAAGTCAGGGTCACGGGTCCAACTATGAATCCCTCCAACTTTGAATCCTCCCCAGCCTGTATCATGGTCACATGTTCCCGGATTTGGGGCTTAGGCTTCAGCTGGTCATACACCCTGGTCGACAACACGCTGACCGCTGCCCCAGTATGAACTACTGCTTTCACCCCGATGCCTTGCACGTGCAGGCTAATGGTAAAGCCAGCAGACGAGCTTGACTGTCTTTTGGGAACAGAGGGTTCTTCCCCCTCAGACACAGGCGATATCAAGTCAAAATTACAGGGGTCAATCCTCCCCAAATCCTGGGATTCATTACCAACTATGGCTGGTCCAAGTGGCTCCTGAGTGGATTTGGGGCTACAGGCTTCCCCACCTCCTCTTCCAGGGTATCCACTTCCTCCTCAGCCATGCAAAGCCCTGGCACTTCCATCCTGCGGCACTTGCACCGATGCCGCATACAGGAACGGAGAACACCGGTCCCCAGCTCCTTGGGATCCAACCTACAGGATTTCTCTCCAGTGGATCTTTTCATCTTGGCTCCGTCCCTAGTACATCAGTAGCGACTGGCTTCCCTGTAACATGGGTGGGGCAATCTCTACGGAAGCGTCCCACCTCTCCACATTTAAAACATATAGCAGGCTTCCGGTCCCGCTCCGTCCATCTGAGTGAAGATACCATTCCTCAGATGTTTCTGAAGGGGGGCAGCTTCCCTCTGCCTAATCAACTCCTCAATCTTCTCGAGCCTGCTTCGGAGGGCTTCATGCTCCTCCAGAGCAGGGACATTTACTGTCCCTGGATCATCCTGTTCAGTGTCCTCGCCGGGGATCAACTTCCACACCTCTCTCTTGATTTAGGCCTATGTAGCCGGGAGTGCTGGTAGTATTGCATTCGCTCCACGGCTTCTTCCATAGTCTGGGGATGTCCGTCGAGTGCATAAAGGCCAGCATCACGGTCCTCGGTCCCATAACACAGCCGAGGTATAGCATGAGTGTGAACATCAGGCAAACCAGGGAAAGCTCGAGCTGCTAAAGTCAGCACTCTTTCAGCCCACTGACGAAGTGACTCCCCTTGGTTCTGGCTGGCCGACTGAAAGTTCAGTTGATGGGTGAGGTCGGATGCAGAGGAGCCAAAACGCTTCTCAAACCTCTGCCGAATATCAGCGAGTCGGAGATGACCTGTTTCCAACAGCAGGGTATAATAATCACTTGCTGCCCCTCAAGGCAGAAACAGAACTGGTCGTGCTGCTCCTCCTCTGTCCACAGCTGGCTGCGAGATATCCTCACGAACTTATGCAAAAATGCCTTCCAGCTGGTCTTACCATCATACCTAAGGTCCTTGTACCTGGGCTCACTCCCGGCAGCTACCCAACTGGTGTTCTGTGTGGGTGTACTAAAGCTGCAAGCTGACTAGCATGGTGTCCCAGCTGGGCAGGCCCACACACATTCGGCTGCATATGTGCTAACCTCTCCCCCTCCCTTCCAAGATGGCAGGCCAGGGTAAAGAGATAGGCAGGACTACAAGTCGCTTTCACAGGGACACTATGATGCTGTAATACACCAGGCAAAGCCATACCATGGTGTGTGATTGGAGTACTATCGCTTCGGTACAACACAGACTGGGCGTGGTCAGGAACTGGGTTTGGTCATGCCTACCACCAGGACTGATGTACGCTGATAGGGGCGCATGGTAAGGTGTACTTGTGGAACTAGGATATAATAATGTAGGTTGGGGTCTGGCAGTAGTCACACCAGTGTCTAAAGGCCAAGAGACTAGGTTACTATTTGCTTGCGACTGAACCAGCGCTGGGGACACTCCAATATTTATGGGGGCAGATATAGTGCTTGGCATTGAGCTCCGGGGTTGCAAATCATCCCCAGGGAAAGAGGGCGCACCAAAGTCTGCTAGTCTAGGTTGGCTCTGTATGGGTGCAGGGTCCCAGGTGAGCCCTACAGGATCTATGGGCCTCAAATGTTGACGATCATACTCAGAGGTGAGCTGTGCAGGCCTCACAGGCCTCTCGGATTGCTGATTAACACACGGTGTATGGGACGGAAGGGCGGGGTCAAGTGGGTGTGGTACAACCTCACCCAAGCGGCTTGGTCTATAACCCATGGTAGGAAGGCCCCCCAGGGTTAGCTGTGTCTCCCACATGGACAGGGTAGCTACTACTAGCTGGTCGCACATGGCCTAAGGAATAAGGATGGTTTGATCCCGAATTCAAGGGAACCTCCCTATATTCATATTTAGGTGGGCTACAACCCACAGTGCTACACTGTACCAGGTGAGCCACACCTACACGGGCTACCTAGAGAGGCCTCCAGGGAATCACTGGTCATCATCCCTGGTGAGCAAAATTGAGGCTGGGCAAACATTACCTCTTTTCTTGACACACCATGTAACACACTGCCCTCCCCACAGGGGATGCCCGAGAGCAGGCCGGGCATAGGTGTAGAGGGACCCCCCAGGGGTAACCGCCCTCCCATGTGGCTTGACATTGATTGAGCAAAAGGTGTGTGACGGGAGGCAAAATGCTCACTCCCACTATAAGCGTATGGTGAATAACCCCCCTCCGCGGGGTATCCCCTCACCCTACCCGGGGCGTGAGGGGTGATATTGTCTGACCGCGTGACAGCAGGGTCACTACCCAGGCCTAAAACCGACACATTTTCCTCCACGGACATATCAATAATAAAATTGCACAAAATAAATATCAAATAAATCACAGACAATCTACAAATTAATTCTGAAATTTGATTCAAGAAAATACATAAAAAATCAACACGTGCTCTCACGTACCTAGCAGCACCTAAAATGGCGGCTAAAAACGATGCCTGAAAAAAAAACTAACTTTGACAGCAGTACGGGAATCTCCCGGGCCCCGCGAGTTGGGCGCCAGTAAAGTTACTGTGGGATTCTTTACAAGTATGTATTAACACATATACAAACACATATACAGATCCGTAGGTTCTGGCCCGGGCTGACTCCCTGCTCCGCTGCTGTCCCTGACACGTTCTGTCAGCTCGGTATCCACGTGTAGAAGAGGTTCGTGCGACTATCCCGCCGTCTGACGTAATACAGACAGTAAGTCGTACCACGGGACAGTCACACAGATACTACAACTATTTTGAAAGTATTACAAAATCAAAAACCGATATATATATATATATATATATATATATATATATATATATATATATATATATATATATATATATAAAGTGTTGTCTATTTATGTGCCAAGTTATATTGATTGAATGATTATATATTGTTTTACGTCCCATTCGAGAATATTCACTCATTTAGAGACGTCACCATATACCGGTGAAGGGCTTTCAAATTTTGACCTTTACTCGGCACTCAGGGCCACTGAGCAGTGAGGGATCTTTATCATGCCAACGCCTGCCGTGACAGGGGGCCTCGATTTTGAAGGTCTCATCCGAAGGACACGCAACTTTCACTTTCAAAGGGTGGAGCGCATGGCGAAGGAACAATTGCTACCCATTTTTTATAACCTTAGGTCACTCGCGGCCGAGATTCGAACTCATGACCCCCTGATCACGGAGCGAGAGCTCTATCGACTGAGCTACCGTGAAAGGTACCAAATTTTATTGAAATCAGACCAAAACTGTCGGAGGAGTAGCATTTTTAAAAAAAAATGTTTACAGACAGACAGACAAAGGGACGGACGACGGACACCTTACTTTCACATAAGCTCTTCTGGTCTCTGACCGGTGGAGCTAAAATGAGACATTGTTCACATGATGAACTGTGTAGTAATCATTATATAACAATTTTAAACTTGAACATTTCCATTGCATCGTATCTTAAATCGCTTTTAAAGAATATAAAATAAATTGAACGAACGCCTCTTAAACATTGCAATATTTTGAAAACAACAGTCCTGTAAAATGTGGATGTATTAAAAGGAATGGAGGTATATGTATTTCTTATATCGCCTATTTAATATGAATTCAAATAACATTATATTTACTGACATTATCTCTCTCTCTATATACATATATATATATATATATATATATATATATATATATATATATATATATATATATATATATATATATATATATATTCTTAAAACAAAAGGGTAGAATGAACTTTACCGGTACGGACGCCATTTTGATTCTAGATCCGCGCGTGAGGTGGCGCAGCGTAAAAAAACTTAGCAACGTATCAATTATGATGGGCGCCACCATTTTGGTTTTTGTGGAAGCGAAGAATAAAAGCGGAGGTATGGGGCGGCAGCCCCCAATTAATACGTAAATTTAAAACAAACTTACCCTCAATCAAATAAGTCAATGCTTCCATTTAAAATTTCCTGTGGTATCTGAGTAGGTTGTTGTGTCTGCAATTCCGTTAGAGGGGTTCGTTTTTTGAAAGAGAAAACACGTTTAACCAAGTCAAGAAATGTTGTAAACTTGTCATTTGAAGTTTGAAAATATTTCTTCCTAATACAATTTTCAACTTAGTAAGATTCGTACAGGATTTTAACGGTTCCAGTTTTGGGAAGAGATTTTTTCACTGCATTCCACGTAGATTCTATGGTATTAGTGCAGGCGCCGGTTTCTTTGTTTTTAAATTCAATTGAATGGTTTACTGTGAGATGTTGGTATCCTTCGCTTTTAAGGGAGGAGTAGGCTTTCCAACAGTCCGAAAGCATTGTTGTTCCAGGGAGTACGTATTTCTTTATAATTGGGATTAATGTGTTGGCACTCCGGTCATCCACAACTTCAAAATAACATTTTTTTTTGTTTCCCTCTCGATCCCCCCGAATACCCACACTCCGTCCACTCTTTTGCCGCGGTGATATTTGCGTTTCCCGAATTCACTTTCGTCTATTTCTACTGCTCTACCGGGGCCCCGACTTTTTCATTTTTTAGTTGTAATATTGATAGACACACTTCCCTGGAAAAATTCTTCCAATCCACTATAATATGGTCACTGCCAATACGTAATTCCCGAGAAAAAAAATCGTTTGGAAGATTATGCACCCAATAGTACGTGAGTTTCACTATTTGTTCCAGGAGGAGATGACTTCCCGCAAACCAAGAACCCTCTCTAACCGATACTTTTTTGTTACACTTTCTGTTTGTACATCGCCATACAACACCGTCTTTACTATATGATCTATCCTCAACTATATGGAATGATCCCTCGCCACAAGCCTCACAAACACTTCTAAAATTTCCTAATAATCCCTTAGTTTGGAGCCAATCAATTAAAAATCTTCTATTTTTGCAAATGTCGTAAATATCATCATACACAAAGGGCATAGTACAATCAGCTGTTTCGTGCTTACAACTTTAAATGACGTAACTTACCCATTACCCAATCAGGAGGCAAGGTCGGATCACGTGATTAGCAAGTCAGACCTTTGGAATGCGATTCAGAACTAGGAAGTGACATGTTTGTTTTTGAAACCCAGGAAATTCTCATTAATAAACTTCATTAGATAAACGAAGTTTATTAACATAAAAAATGACGAGGAATTCAAGAAATAGGTTATTTTGGAATTTAAATGCCGTTTTAACGAAATCGTCACGCTGACGCGTAACACTATTATATAGGGAGAGCACGTGCTATTACTTTGTAATTTGTACGTACCGGTAAAGTGCAGTTGTCCCAAACAAAATTCACTATTTATTTTTACTTTCATTATTATTTTGCTTTACCTACGAGAGTGTACTTAATTTGGAGTTTACAGCATAAAAGAAAATCAAGAAGTCCATGTGCTAGAGGGCTCACATGAGGTACTATGGCCCTATTCCTCTAAACTAGCAGATTTCCCCCTATATTTTTCCTTGTAAAACTTTTATTGCATAAGTCCCCATCCTACCCCGGGGTAATAAGATGCTTGCTTAGAAATAAAATAATCAAAACTTTCCTGTTCTTGATTTTGCTGTTCAAAATTTCAAGATTTTACTTATGTATTTCTCTGCAAATTTATGGTCGCCCATAATCCGATCCCTACACCAAGGGGTTATGAAAAACAATTTGAATCTATTCTACCATAGGATACTTCCATATAAATAACTCATGACGACCCATCTGCTGTAGAGAAGATTTTCACAGATTTATTGCAAAGGAATTTGACAGCCTATTGCCCTTGGTCATGAAGTGGGATGCTTCCGAACAAATATGATTAATCACGGCTTATCTTTTTGTTAAAAAAATATTTAAACAATTTCCCCTATGTATTCCTATGTAAAATTTTGATCACCCCTTGTGGCTTCACCCTACCCAACTGGGGTCTTGATTTGAATAAACTTGAATCTACTATTCCTGAGGATGCTTTCTTATAAATATAACTTATATTATCATTGCTTAGTTGTTCTTCAGGAGAATGCTTTCAAAGATTTTTCTTAAGTATTCCTTGTAAAACTTTGATCGCCCATTATGGCCTCACTCTACCGCGAGGGGGTCATGATTTGAACAATTAAACTCTTCAATATGCACTGCCATAAGATGTCATATAAATATTACTAATCGAGACCTAGCTGTTCTTGGAATGAAGATTTTGAAAGACTTTTCCTATGTATTCAATGGCCAATGCAAATCCCAAGGGGTCATAAATTCAACCAACCTGATTACACTATATACTGCAAATATTAATTTGAATGCTACGTTTCTTTAGCAGGAAAATTGATCATTTCTTCGTTTGGTTAATTTACAGAAAGAAACGCATATAAATAATAACTTTTATAATATTTATCTTTATAATTTCAGTATACCTTCACTGCAATTTAAGCCCCTCCAACCAGCAGCACAGTAACAAGATCCGTCTGTGAATTCGCAAATACTGATGCATTTACCAGAGCAAATACCTGAGCAATTCTTTCCAAAATATCCCCGTTGACAAGCTAAAATATAACTTTAGCAATGTTAAGATATCATATGACGATATGATAGTATTTATTTCTAAAAAAAGGAACGTTATCACTATTTTTATTTTGGCTTACATTCGTCACATCTTTCACCGATATATCCATCCTTGCAGCCATTTGTACATACTCCGTCTATGTGGTTACAGATTTCATCATTCCAACAATTCTGGCTGCAAAGTACCTTGCATTGGCTCCCAAAGAATCCTAGGGTGCATGCTATTGAAATATGAGTGGGGAATCAAAAACAGAATTAAAACTAATCTTTATATTATTTCGTGTACATGTATGATGACTTTTCCTACGCAAATTAGACTTTCTAGCTCTTTTCTTTTACTCGTTTTTACCTGCCTTACAGGAATTCCCTGTATATCCTGGTTTACACCCTGTGTCACAGTTTCCAGTTTGTTTGTTACAGTGGACATCATCGAGACAATTACCACTACAGTTGTATCTACAACCGGGGCCGTAGGTTCCATTTTTACATGCTGTTAATAATTATAAAAAAAAACGATTTTTCAACATACTTTTTCCAGCCATTTTTTTTCATGGAAAAATTACAACAGAATTTTTTTCATACATCCCGATAAATGACGTATTAAAATTCTTATTTGTGTTAAATTACGAGGGTTGTTCGAAAAGTTCGTGGACTGATGCGATAAAATTAATACTATGTAGTATATGCTTACAAAATTTTTAATGAACATAAAACAACATATGTTGAACACTTATCTTGATGAGTTTCCTTGGAGTTAAGTAAAGATTTATACCCGTCTTGTTTATATGATGTTACGATGTCATAAACAGCTGATTTCAATGCATATAATATTTTAAATAGATCTAAAAGATCCTCACTTGATTATGACAGCATATTTGCTTGTCGGAGTTCAACTTCTATCACACATGATCAACGTCACTTTTCGACGTGACAAACTTTGAACACCCTTACTACAAACAGTAACTTTTACATCTCTCTAATCTTTTTCGGCGTTTAAAAACAAGTACTCTGAATGCACTTTATTTTTCAGTAGCCCATTTAAATATTTCCTAGGTCAATGCCAGTTTTTCCAGAAGGTGAAACTTTATAGATTGTTGGAAAAAGAAACCCACCCCCTTTCTGACGTCATTACAACCCCATAATTGTTTGGACATTTCATATAAAATTTACGATAAAATTTCATAGAACTTACAGAATGGGGTATAAATTGCAAATTTTACAGTGCAATTGTGTCATTCCACATGAGTGAATTAACGGGATTTTTGAATGACAAATGCTCATATAAAAAAAGAGTTCTTTCTCAATTTTACTTAGGTAGGAAAAACGTAATCTTCCAGGTTGCGCCTCCTGGACATACCATTACATTCAAAAACATCAAAAATTTATTGAAAAATAAAACTAATGATGGAAAGTTTATTATATAAATAAAAAAGATGATGTTTATTAAACGTTAAAAAAATCATTGATGTATCTTAAGCGGTTTTAATTTTATGCCGCTTGTCCACGAACTTTCCGAACAACCCTCGTATGTAGCTTGAGTTTAAGTCCAAAATAAGAAGAATCATCTGGTCCTAATACGGAAAATTTTTGTAATTGGTTTAATTTAACCATCCATTATGAATTAAATTGTTATTCACTTTTTATGTATAGTTGAAATAAAAATCGAATGTACATAGTTATATTTTATTTACGTTCTTCACATGTTGTTCCTTTCCATCCATTAGTACATCCCCTGTCACAACCACCAGTTACATGATTGCAGACTTCACTGTTTAGGCAATGACCGGAACATTGTTGTTTACAATCAAGCCCAAACCATCCTCTTGGGCACTCTAGTTTATAAAATACATCTCGATATAAATGACAGCAACTCTACGATGTATTGTGTGACTTTGCATTAAACATTTTTTATATCTCATAAGTACAAAATAAAGCAAAGTAAAAAGAAAACTAGATTGAAAATTGAAATCGTTATGTTCATACTATTTTTGCATAATTTTCCTGTCCACCCACGACTACATTTCAGGCATGTTCCATTAACGATGTCACAGCTTTGATCTTCGCAATTGGCAGAACACTTTTTATCACAATTTGGCCCATAAAAGGTTTTATTACAACCTGTTAATATAAACAGTTTTAAGTTTTTATAGAATAGAAATAAAGGATTATTTAGTTGTTACTAATTAAAAATATTTTAACATTCAATATGAAGATAAATCTATGAATATTACCCTGCGTTTAAACAAGAATATTTAATATTTATAGGAAGAATTATAGAAGCATCTTATGTGTGAAGGCTGTTTAATATACTCAGAAATTCCTGTCATATGTATGATAAAACAAGGCAGATAATTTCATTGGATACATGTTCATCATACGATTGGATAATTTATGAAATAAGAAAGAGTTTGGAGCTGTCCTTGAGTAAATTTTGTCCTTGCCCATTTATAGCACGTATTTGCCTAAAACACAGCCAGAAACCCTTTTTACAAAAGACATCCTGTGACTTTGAATATACACTATATATTAGTTATTTTAAAAATCATAATACATGTACAAAATGCAGATAAAGTAGAATTGATTTTTTGAAAAAAGGCTGATAACTTCCAAGGTAAGAAATCATTATAAATGCAAGACTATTTATGGGCTATAGGAATTAACATGTATGTTACAACTTTCTGTTTTAAGTGAACTGTTTCTAAGTTGTCTACTTGAAATTTATGTTCTCGATACGACATAATATCTCCCTCCCCTCAAAATAAAGTTATTTTCTTTAATATGGTCTACCCTCTACCGTCGTTCGTCCTCGTAGTATTTTTTTTTTACACCTATATGTGTAGATTGAAATAAGTTCATTTGTGCTGTTCTTCATGATCTCGTATGCCTTGATCTTGATTAAAAATATCTAAAAGTCAGATTTTTTGTCCAATCCTAAATTTTGCAAGAACAATACAGAACACTAAATTCGAATGTTTTAAAAAGAAGAGGATGTGGTTCAAATGATAGTGGTTTATTAATCTCATTTCTCTTCACAGATTCAGCCACTCACATCAGAAAAAGGTTTCGTGCCCTATGGTTTGACTCAATGTCACGTCACCTTTTTTTAAAAGTACTACAAAGCTGAAGCGATTAAATACTCATGGACACTATTTTTAACCTTAGACTCATGTAAACGATGTAGTATGTTTGTATAATCTCTAAAAATACAGTAATATACTGTGGTTTACTATCAATTGTGAAATATAATTAACTATGATACCTTTGAAATATTGATTTACTATAGTGATAACTTTGATAATCACTATGACATTGTAGCCGTAACTTTGAAAACTTTGAATTACCATAGTGATCACTATGAAAACTTTGATTTACTATTGTTATCACTCAAATGTACTTTTTAGCTCACCTGAGCCGAAGGCTCAAGTGAGTTTTTCTGATCAAAATTTGTCCATTGTCTGTCGTCCTTGTCGTCGTAAACTTTTCACATTTTTATTTTCTTCTCAAGAACCACTTGGCCAATTTCAACAAAACTTGCCATAAAGTATCCTTGAGTAAAGGGGATTCTAGTTTGTCCAAATGAGGGGCTTCTTCCAAGGGGAGATAGTTATGATTTCGTGAAAAAATAATGGCATTTAAAAATCTCCTTCCCAAGAACTACTGTACTTGAAAATATAAAACTTATGAGGAATCATTGTGAGGTAGTGTAGATTCAAATTATGACCCCCGGGGGTAAGGGGCTACAATTGGAGATCAAAGTTTTACATAGGAATACATAAGAACATCTTTAAAAATTTTCTTCTCAAGAACAGCAAACCCATTTATGGTCATATTTATTTGGAAGCATCCTCATGTAGTGTAGATTCAAATTGTTCAAATCATGACCCTCCGGGGGTAGGGTTGGGACACAATTGGCGATCAAAGGTTTACATAGTAATACATCGGAAAAATCTTTAAAAATCTTTTTCTCGAGAACAGCAAAGCTGTGATTGGTCATATTTATATGGAAGCATCCCCAGGTAGTTTTAAATCATGTTTGTTCAAATCATCACCCTCCAGGGTAGGGTGGGGCCACAATGGGTGATCAAATTTTTACATAGGAATACATAGGAAAAATCTTTAAAAATCTTCACAAGAACAGCAAAGCCATGAATAGTCATAATAATATAAAAGCATCCTCAGGTAATGTAGATTTAAACTTGTTCAAATCATGACCCCCAGGAGAAAAGAGGGGCCATAACAGGGGATCATAGCAATACAAAGGAATATAAAGGATATATCAGTCAAAATTTTTATCTTAAGAACAGCTAAGCCATAATGATTATGTGTCATATTAGTTCAAAGGCACCCTTAGGAAGTGTAGATTCAAATGTTCAAATCATACACCACCCCCCCCCCCCACCCCGAACCGCTTTTATTTTTAAACTTTTCAATATTGAACTGATTTCGGATTTTTCCTAGCCAAAGTGCTCAAGTGAGCGATGTGGCCCCTGGGCCTTTTGTTTTTATTATGTCAACAACTTTTCATCTTGTTTTATGTACGTAACGACACTTACTTTATGTGATTATATAAAAAAAAACACTAATTGAAATGAAGGGAAACATTATTAATTTAACAAACATTTCGCCAGTAGCAGTCACTGAAAAAACAAAAGGTTAAAAAAGTATCAAATTAAAATTAAAATGTATTGAATGCAACGTTCATGGAATTAATGTAAATACAAGACATCAACAAATATCTGTAGTAAAATTAAAAAAAAAAAACAACAACTGCAAAACCGATAAAACCAATCTTGTGAAAAAAAAATTATAGCACAAAAAATAAGTAGAAACACACGAAATACATATACTAAAGTTTTCACTTCTAAAACATAAAATAACTAGAAGCTGTCATCAGACAGTAATACCAACACTAGGGTGTTTGCCTCTAAATGCACACTCTTTCATATTGGGCTTACCAAGGAAAAAGTCAAAATAATTCTGTAATTTACACAGCACATGTATTCTTCAAATCGAGCATAAAATGCTCAGGTGACCATGTGACCTATGAGCCTCTTATAGGTATTTCCTTTACTTAATTCACTACCAGTCTGAAATAACGGAATTTAATTAATGATGTTAATTAGGTTTTGATAAAAAGGGTGATATAATTTTTTGGTCCTTTAATTGGAACTTTTTAAATTTATTTTCTCAACAACAAATAATATAATTTTAGTATACAAAGCATTTTTGATGAATTTATCAAAATGTGCTTTTTTAAAAAAAAATATTTGATTAGGCAAAAACCTCCTTGAAAAGCCAGTACCCAATCAATTTTGTTTTAACCCCCCTCCCTCCCAACACACACACACACACAATTTGTCCACACACACACACATTTTGTCTGTTTTTTGGAAATTGGCCTAGATGGCAAAATTATGCTAAAACATCGTTTGTTATGATAATTTAAAATTTGTTCTTGTACTCTACATGTATGTGAACACCTTTTTGAAAATTTCTACATCACACTGTGCTTGCGTCACCCTACTAGTACTAGTTTCACCATTATCATTTTTAGATTGCACATGGTGCAGTGTGGTGTACACATCATTACATGTATATCAGTAGAAATTAATTCATTTTGTGTTTTAATTGGATTTAAACTAATTTCATGAAGTTGACAGGACCTATGACAGTCGGTAAGTACAAGTTTAAGTATAGATTTGGGTTAAATAAACCGAAATGCAAATGGTTAGGTTAAAGTTTAAAAAGGGATGCCACAATAGACGAATTTCATATTCTGAAGAGTTATCTCCCGTTATTGACATTACATTCAGTTACAGGCACAGGTCCAGGATTTTTTTTCCGGGGGGGGGGGGGGGTTCCACACCTCAGTCAAAAAAAATTCCAGCCCAGAATTTCCTGAGAAGCAAAAAAAAAAAAAAAAAAAAAAAAAAAAAAAAAAAAAAAAAAAAAAAAAAAAAAAAGGAAACAAACAAACAAACGAAATACTGTAACTCTTTCCAAGTACTTGTGATCACAAGTTTTTATCTCAATTGAGTTTTTCTGGTTTTCTATCACATTTTGTCTGTCATCCATCCGTCTGTCTGTAAACTTTTCACATTTCGGTCTTCTTCACTAGAACTACTGGGCCAACAAACCTTGCCACAAATCATCTTCGGGTGAAGGGGATTCAAGTTTGTTCAAATGAAGGGTCACACCCTCTTTCAAGGGGGGATAATCAAGAATTAGTGAAAATTTGGTGATATCATTTAAAAAAGTATTACCAAGAACCACTGACTGGGCCCAAAAAGTTGAAACTTTCTTTACATAGACTTAGTGTAGATTCAAATTTGTTCAATTTATGACCTTCTGGGGTAGGGTTGGGCCACAAATGTGGATCCAAAGATTTACATAGAAAAATGCAGGATATAGATAGATATTGATAAGAGCTATGCAACTGCATCAACATTTTTTGACCTTGACCTTTCCTTTGACATTGACTTCACTTTTCTTTAAATTAGTAGTTTGCTTAGTTTTAAAGAAATCATTCAAGTTACTTTAATCAAACTTCTTATGCTATTGCATACTGATGTTAGCTTTTCAACTGCATCAACTTTTTTGACCTTGACCTTTCCTTTGACCTTGACCTCACTTTTCTTAAATTAGTGTCTCGTTCAGTTTTGAATAAACAATTCAAGATATATTTATCAAACTTCATATGCTGATACATACTGCTGAGAGCTATCAATTACATCAACTTTTTTGGCCTTGACTTTTCCTTTGACCTTGACCTCACTTTTTTAAATAAGTGTACATCTATGTTTCAAATAAATCATTTATGATATCTTTATCAAACTTCATATGCTAATAGTAAATTCATACTTATGTAGGCTTTTCAACTTCATCAACATTTTGACCTCAACCTTTCCTTTGACCTTGATCTCTCTTTTCTTAAATAAGTGTTAAGCTCAATTTTACATAAATCATTCAAGATATTTTTATCAAACCTAATATGCTGATATGTATTAGTGAGAGCTATTCAACTGCATCAAGAACCTTTCACCTTGCACTTTCCTGTGGCCTTGACCTCCCTTCTCTTTAATTTGTATTTTGCTTAGTTTTAAAGAAACAATTTAAGATATTTTATGTAAGCGTGGACTTATACATAATTTGGTGAGAGTTTATCATCTATATCCATTTTGTTTTAGATTTTAGTTTTAATTTTCAAGAAACTATTCAATATATTCTCATCAAACTTCATACACTCATACAAATTTTCATGTTGCATTAGTAATATACATTCGGTTGGGCATTCATGTCCAATGGACATATTTCTAGTTTTCAAATCATGACCTCCGAGGGTAGGGTCAGGCCGAAATAAGGGATCAAAGTTTTATATAGGAATAAAAGGAAAAAAAGTCTTTAAAATTCTTCTTTTGAAGAACAACAAGAGCATGATTAATATGGAAACATTCTCAAGAAGTGTAGATTCAACTTTATACAAATCATAACCCCATGGGTTAGGGAGGGGTCATTTTTTCCTGCCCCGATTTGCCATCCACATGGAAATGCAAATTTCGAAACGTTTTACACATCAGGACAAAACCAATCATCTTCCAACGATCATGATTTAAGGCTAATGCATAAAATATAAGGGAAGTTCTGGGAACCAGGGTGTTTAAACATGTTAAATATATTTTTTAAAAAAGTTGACCCCATTTGACCCCCAGGGTGAAAATAAAAATTCCGAAACCTTAATGCACATCTACAGGACACCACCAACCATCTCCAAAAAGATGATTAGGATACTGTGTAAAATGTAAGAAGAGTTGAGGGAACCAGGGGCTTTTTGCATAAAAAACGTCATTTTCGACCCCCATTTGCCCCCCAAGGTGAAAATGAAAATTCCGAAACCTTACTGCACATCTACATGACACCACCAACCATCTCCCAAAAGATGATTAGGCTACTGTGTAAAATGTAAGAGGAGTTCAGGGAACCAGGGGCTTTTTGCATAAAAAACATCCTTTTTCGACGACCCCCATTTGACCCCCCAGGGTGAAAATGAAAATTCCGAAACCTTACTGCACATCTACATGACACCACTAACCATCTCCCAAAAGATAATTAGGCTACTATGTAAAATGTAAGAGGAGTTTGAGAAAGAAGAGTGTGACTGACGGACGGACGGATAGCTAGACGGACGGACGGAATGAGTAACAACAATATACCCGAACTTTCTTTAGAAAGTGCTGGTATAACAATTGTGAAAACTTTTCTCGCTTCAAAATACCTATTTGTGCCTAAATTATACAAACTCTGCAATAATGTTTCCAATTTAAGGAAAAGTAAAGAGGTATGTGAAATATCAGTAATGAAAATTAAAATATGGCACCTTTTACTATCACCTCGCACAAATCAGTATACGCCTGACGTTCGTATCCGTTAGGATAATTAACTCCATCCAACCGCTCATTGTAAAAGATGACATATCGACCATATCCCGCACAAATTGTCGAAAACTTCAGTGGAGGTAACTCTGGCCCATCCTTGTAACAAAGAGAGTTGTTGTCTCTATTTTCAGATTTTGATAAATATAGAGAAAATCCTGCAAACCGGCCTTTTTGACGATCCTCTAAAAAGAGATAGCTCTGTAAATTTCAAAACCCAAACCATGTAAATGAGAAGACATTCACAGATTTATTTTTTTTTTAAAAAGTTTTATTAACTTTCCTGTTAACATTTTAGTAACGAGAAAATTAAACTGTCCAAGAATACTTCTATTTGAATTTTTAAAAAAAAGGTGTATTCGATTATAAAATACTTATACATGTAAATCGAAAATGAAACAAGATTTTCACGATTTAACTTTTATGTTCATCACTTTAACCTCAATAATCAGAGAACAAGCCAAGGAAAAAACTAGGTATATTTAAAATTACTTAAGACATTGGTTTTAGTTTGTATTTAATCCTGTTGCTTTAAGATTCTTTTCAGGTATGTCATGAAACTGGTTATATCAAAGATTTTTAAGTAGAATATTTTGGATATTTGAACATGTAATACAACTCAAAATCAAAACCGGTAGGGTTTAATGTACATCTTACTCAGCACCAGTAAAATTTGGCATTTTTGCAATTAAATTGTAACTTATAGGTTGATCACTTTAACTTCGGTTACATTTTACCAGACAATTCATGACAAAAGATACAATCTTATACAAAATTGTTCAAACAATATCTTTTATTGAAAAATGTGTCAAATATATTTACAAAATTATCGTTTCACTTTGGCATTTCTACTTGTAATAAGGAAAATATCGTATTTGGGATAGTAAAACTAAATACGCAATAAATACTAAACTTTTTACGATGTGAGTACTGCTTAGAAGAATTTTAAACCAGAAGTATCTGACAAGACTGTAGCTCTATGGTTTGTACTTATAATAAAGGAAGAGAAAAGTATTTTACAGAAATTACTATTTTTAGTTACCATGGCAACAGTGTTTATCGAAATAAAAAACCAATGCGCGGAATTATATATTTTGTAAGTGATTCAACTTGTGTGCCAAGTTATATTTAATAAAATCAGACCAAACCTGTAGGAGAAGTAGCATTGTGAAAGTATTTCATATAAAAATTTCTATTTATAGTAACCATGACAACACTGTTCATCGAAATCAAAAACCCAAGCGCAGAATTATGTATGTAAGTAAGTCTACTTGTGTGCCATGTTATACTGAAATCAGACCAAAACTGTATGAGGAGTAGCGTTTTCGAAAGTATTTTATAGAAATTTCTATTTTTAGTAACCATGGCAACACCGTTCATTGAAATCAAAAAGCGATATACAGAATTATATAGCTTAATGTAGTCTACTTGTAGTCTACCTGTGTGTCAAGTTACATTGAAATCAGTTCAAAACTGTAGGAGTAGTAGTAATTTGAAAGTATTTCACAGTAATTTCTATTATTTGTAAGCATAGCATCACCGTTCATTGAAATGAAAAACAGATACACAAAATTATGAATCATAGTGTAGTCTACTTGTGTGCCTATTATATTGAAATCAGACCAAAACTGTAGGAAGAGTAGCGTTTTTGAAGTATTTCACAAAAAAATTATTTTCAATAACCGTGGCAATTTTATTCATTAAATAAACAGAATTATGTATCTTAGTGTAGTCTACTAGTTTGCCAAGTTATATTGAAATTAAACCAAAACTGTAGAAGGAGTAGGATTTTGAAAATATGTTTACAGATAGACGGATGGACTGACGGATAGAGAGCCGGACGGACACCTTACTATCACATAAGCTCTTCTGGTCTCTGACCAGTAGAACTAAAAATGAAATAAATTGCAAATTTTGGCATAGTTTGTTTTAAAAATGTGTAAGATTTGTTCTTAAAGTCCAAACATATTTCTACGAGCAAGGATATGTATGACCAAAGATCTCAATTATGGTATTAAGGTAGTACACAACGCCAATGAAATCTATTTTAACGCATATCTTCTAAAGAAAAATTAGAGAATCCTATATATTCATCATCCGGGAGCCTACATTTTTTGGGGTCGTGTTTATGCCATCTACATGCCATATGACTGTCTGTTATTAAATGGATAGTAACTTTTGATCCCTTTATAGTAGAGACCTGATATTTAGATATATTTATGAGTCTCCATTCTTTTTGTACAATAAAGGTCAAGGCCATAGTAAGAGGTCAAAGGTGAAATATAGTGACGTCATCTACTGAATCTTTAAATTTTTCATTTGATTTATTTAAAATCGCCAAAATATTTGAAACCGCCGGTTCAAATTACCTCATTTTGACATGAATCAAAATGAATCTGGGTTCCATTTAAATTATTCTGTTCATTGTAGAAATTGAATTATACATTTTCTTTAAAGAGGACTTAACGTGTGACATATTTACACGTAAATTTTAATTCCCGGACTACGTATGTTCTATTTTTACATCACATTTTACTCAAATATACCGGTATCAAAATATTTTACTAAATGTTAGTAAAGAAAGGTTGGCTTTATAAACAGCATCACACAAGTTTGCAATTGATAAATTGGTTATTTTTAAATAATGCACAATCTCAGGTCGTCTGTCTAATTTCAGAATCTTCTTACAGGGATCTAATAGGCCATATTTCAAACTATGTGGGCAAAAAATGTATGGTTGAAGTTCTTTCATATTATATACAAAAGGATTTTGTACCCTAGATCAAAATATCAAAGTTTGAACAGAATTGAATTTGAGAAAAAAAATTGGCCCATCTATTGTGTACTACCTTAAACAGAAGTGTATAGTTCAAAAACTTTTTCTATAAGTATCTTTCCCGAACAAGAAAGAGTCCTGCATAAACCTTTTAATAAACCCTGCATTTTTGAGCGGGTGTTTGATTTGATGTATCATTTGCATTGTTAAACTGAAATATGTTATACATGTATAAATTTTAATTGCAATTAATATTTTTTTAATTAAAGGTCCAGACGAAACGTTTTAGCAAAAGCTGACGAGGGGCATATATGTACTTTGAATGGAGAATTTCCGTAGCATTAGACATTGCTTACATGCATTTCTACACTTTACAATTTTGCTCTATCTCACCAGTGTTGATATTTATAATCGTAAAAAATATACTAGTACATAAAGTACAGATTTGCCGATAGATTTTTGCAAAACAATACCTCATCTGATCTCTGTTTCAGAGGTCCTTGTTGGCTTTGTAAACAATTTGTATTTATGAAATTGACTTTTGAGCAGGACCACTTTTCATTATCTTCACTTTAATTTAAAGCATACATAAGCCCCATACGAGCTTGTGCTTAAACCCTCTTTATAGTATTAATACAAAAAATTATCTTCAGTTGAATAAAAAATACCAGCTATCAATTACTTTGGGGGTGAAATGTTAAAATAATGATAGACACAAACAATAATTTCTTTAGATTTTGCCAATGAAAGATATATATTATTTTGCATCCAAATACATAACATTTATCATTAAAGCAATTTATGTTCAAGTGTACCCCTATCCAGCTATCTCAATTGACATGTAAATATGAAGATAGATGGTGGATCGATGAAGATAAATGGTGGATCAATAAAAAGTGATACGCAATATATGAGACTATTTTCACGAATTTAAGAATGAATTGAATTCATTATATTATTTAACCCTTATGTAAATAACAGTTTTGGCAGCAAATTTTGTAACGATTTCCATTTGTTTGACATTATCTTCGTATAGTGGATTGTTTCATCATATTTAACGTACGTCATCCATCTCAGTGTTGCAAATACATGCATGCAAATATACTCAAATAGCACCCGAGCAACTTTTGGTTTATAGTAAACAAAGATTAAAGAAATTCAAAACATGCTATTTATATGAGGAGAGAGATTAAAATTTACTTAGTGTCTATTTTGGCAGGAGTATTTAATCAGATGTTAGAATAACACGACGAGTCTATTAAAATAAGGGTTCTCCCTAAGACCCAGTGGCTGGGGAATTTCCCAGCCTATATTGTTGTGATTACACTATAATAACCTTAACATTGATTAATAATAAACTCCCCATTAGGGGAGGAATCCCAGAAACACCTACTCTTTAAATGCCCCCTTCTGTTTCAATTCTTAGGGACAGTCCATATTTAAATAATTAATGATTGAAATATGGTTATTACCAGCAATCCTTGTTTTAATTATTTAAGATATATTATACGAGGGGTGATCAAAAAGTTCGGGAACTATCTCTATATTTAGAAAACCACAATTCAAATCAGAATGAAATTTGGCACACATATAGTCATACATATGTTCTATAAAGAGCAGATGTTAAATAATGTTTTGATCCGTGTTTGTGACGTCACAGCGTGAAAAAGACGTCAGTTTGTAGGTCACTTGTGACAATAAACGGTTGACTCAGTCGTACTCGAGCAATGAACGGCTGTAAAGTTTAACGTATATCTCGGAAATTCCTTTGCAGTAGAATATGATAATTTGTACGAGGATTATGAAGACAAAAGACTTACCAGAAGTTCAATCATTAATTAGATTGAATGTTTTATTGAAGGCAGGGAGATGGTTAAAAATGATGTTTGTTCTGTTGCCCAGCGAAAGCAAGCGGGTAAAAAGATGTGTCCTTATTTGAGCGATTTGTTTTGAAAGATCGCCAAGTTACACTAAGAAAAATAGTTGAATATCTGAGCAGTAATAAAATTATTAAATCCCTAAAATATCGTTTATTTTAGACTTTAAACATATGAGATATGAAAAAAAAAAGGCGCCCATACTTTTTCCGCATTGGATAAACGACGCTCCCGAGACAGAGGACTCGGGTTTTGATGGTCAACATGCTAATTCTGGGAAGGGATATCCTTACCCACCCATCCAATTGACGAGATTTGACCATTTCTGACAGATTGTCTGTTCTTGTTATAAAAAATTACTTGCAAAATAAGAAATATAAGACTCGGAAAAATCTCTTAGCTTCTGTGAACAGACCGCTACGAAGCATGTCACGTGACCGCCTGGATCACGTGATTCGCGCATGGGCAGAACAATGGCAGATTTGCATTAAAATCTGAGAGGACTACTTGAAAAATTAATGAAGACTGAAACCTCATTTTATTTCTTTTAAGGGAGTAATTCAATTATTTTGCGAACTTTTTGATCACCCCTCGTACACGTATACAGAATATACATATCAGAATGTTTATACATGTTTACTCTGAACACAATGAATTTTTGTGAACTTGAAGATATATATAGGTAAGACATGTGATTTTGAATAAGTTTGACACAATTTACATCTGTATGATTGCTGATGATCAATGACCATGAAATCATATTTCTCATTCCTATATCAAATAAGCATTTAGTATATGTTGAAGTTAATTGCAAGTTCATCATCATGTGTAGTGTTCTTGCACCATTATATACATTGTGCATAATTGTTGATTTTGCATCACTGTACATCGTCAATTGCTTTATGGTTGATATTTTATCACTTTTGTACATCATTATGCACATCTTTTATGTTCTGACAGCATTATTATACTTTCATGTTAAATACTAAAATCTGATTGGCTTAGACGCATTTAACAATCCTTAATGTTACCCTCAGCGTTAGCAACACACTTGACAACGGGTAACATTACGAAAATGTCACATGCGTGCAAATCATGCGCGTACGGTTCACCATAGAATTCTCAAAACGTCAGTTGTGCGTTTGAAAGAAGCCGAATAAACGACGTCAATAAAAGCTTGCGTCCGATATAGCTTACTTCAAAACAACAAACGACAGACGAAAAATGCTTGCGAGTGCAGAAATAACGGAACTTTAAATGTTAACGGACTTTTGTGGTATCAAACAAACAATAAAGAGGTCGGTAAATCTTTTTCGAAGCTCTCTTATTGAGAAAAATAGTAGCGGGGAGTTTGAAAGCTTTCCAAACGTGAACGTACAGACGATCGACGATTTTTTTTTTTTTTTGGCTGACATCCTAAAACAACACATTCAGTATAAGAAAATAAATGGTACCTGTTTTGGAGGGTAACGCGTCGGTTGACAATGGTTTTCCTTGGGGTGTCAATTTCAACTGTTACCCTCCAAAACAGGCACCATTTATATTGTGTATTGTTTTGCACTTACTGTTAAATGGTTGACGCTTTAGTAACTTTGCAATTTGTGCATCATTATGAGCTTTTTTGTTGACGCTTTTGCACTATTTTCACTTCATCGTGCATTAACATCCACATACATGTCTTCATGGTTGAAGCTTTCGCATTATTGTCAAAAACACTTTCAATTTTGTTTCTTCAGCTTTATTATGCATAAGCATACTGATGATTTGTAGCTTCAAATTCATTGGGACTTTCACAGAATCTCTTTTACATAATGCCAAGGAATGCACTCTGCATTGTAGTCTTATGGAAGCGGGGATATCATTCTGTAAGCTCATTGCTCACAGTATCTCTAGATTTTCCCATGGTTGCTTCAGTCTCGTTTCAGCTACTTGAGAGTTTGTCAACAGACTTGCAGTGGATTTTCAATGAAATCTTAGATAGAAGTTTCTCCATTGTTTAATTTCGATTTGTTGAATAGGTAACTCTATGTAATGATCATCAAAGCCGAATACATCTATAAGATACACAGGTATAATAGAGGTCCTATCAAAGTAGAATCTTCGTAGACTGCACGTGTCGTTCAGTTCAGTTAAATGGTAAAAAAAATACACTCTGCTGCTTTCAATCATTATTCCTATCGCTGCTACAGTATATGAGATGTTTACTGTTGTTCAGCGTACGTCAAAATGTTTTATATCATTTATTTTCAATTTCATTCATTCGTGAATGATAAGTAAAGAATGATAGGTGAGTTATTACAAGTTGTTGTACATGATTTCATAAGGCAACGGGAATTTCTGCCCCCGTTTTGTATTCGCCCCTTTCGCCCTCGTCGCAAGAAGGCGAACTAAAATGGGGCGAATTCAAAGAAAACATCATTATTGCATTAACAAACTTATCTGCAGAACTGTAGCTCTCTGCTTGAGAAAATTTGGACAGACAAAGCAGAGAGCTACAGATCCAAGCGTTGTAAAAACCTTCGATTTACGCCGCCGCTTTTTGTCGCTCGCTTCGGCTTTTATTTCTTGTATTTAATGCTTTCCCCTGCTTTAAAAGTGTCAAAAGTTTAGGAACTGATCAATTCAAAAGTAACCTAAGCCCTATGGTTACATTTGAATGGATGAGGCATCTAGGGATGTACACTACCAGAAATTGTGTGTCTGTGTGAGTGATGCATTGCTTTACACATCGAAAGGACCTTCGTAATTTTTTTTAAATTTTCTAAGTGTTTCCAGGAATTTCATCAATTTTTCTTAGATATACCACAGACAGACAAAGACGCGATACAATATAATGTGTAAAGTACACTTAGTGTTTGAAGTTATTAAATATGAATATTATTATTTAGTCTATAAATAGTTCCTATATAGTCTATACAAACGCAAACAGTTCATAATACTACATTTTTACATTTACAAATGTTTTCTTTTTTATAAAACTACTAAAAGCAACGCGTATCTATATCCGTATAAACACGGGTTCCTCGCGTCATAAACGTTCGACTTAATTTCTCAGTGACGTCATAAAGGGTCGACGCGCAATCAATGGATCAAATACATGCCGTTGAGTTTGAAAAATAAAACATTTCACGCGTTAAAGATTATAATCAGGAAAATATAAAATATGAATAAGAATGATAGGTGAGTTATAAGCGACGGGCGGTGTGTACTTCGGGCTTTATGGAATTTGATCTCGTGACCAACCCCTATTTATATCCCGATAGATGTTTAAAAATGATACATTATTTTTTAAATATTTACATTTTCAAATGTTTTCTTTTATATAACACTATTAAAAGCAACGCGTATCTATATCCGTAAAAACACGGGTTCCTCGCGTCATAAACATTCGACGTAATTTCTCAGTGACGTCATAAAGGGTCGACGCGCAATTCAGGGGATCAAATACGTGCCGTTGAGTTTGAAAAATAAAACATTTCACTCGTTAACAGATTATAATCGGGAAAATATAAAATAGGAATAAGTCTATATAATAAAACAATTACGGACTAGTTCGGTGGTAAATATGGTTTTGTTATTCACCAGAAAAATATCAATACATGTATGACCTCGGTCAATATTGATATTTTTCTGGTTAATAACAGACCATATTCAACTGCGAATGAGTCCATAATTGTATAATATAACACAGGTAAAATATTAAATACAAAATGTTATATAATAGAAAAAAATAACACTATAAATTTTCTGACATATCTGACCTATGCGAGTGAATACTTGCATGTTCTGTTGGTTATACAATGAAAAACTAATAAAAGTAAAAGCATGGGCGAATTTTGATAAATACTAGTCACAAATCGATTTGTTTTAGTATACCCGTACATGTTTTTAAAGTTAAAAAAAATTCCATATTTACTGAAGAAATTTACATTTCAACTTTGAAGAATCGAGTACAGGAGCATTTGATATAAAATCCTACCTTTGTTAAGAACTTCTTTAAAATGTACGCTGATACTGTAAATACTGTAAAAATCGCCCAAATCTACATTCCACCATACTTCCTTTAGAGATGTTCCTTCTCCTATAACCTTGATTCCCGAACATGTTGTTTCATTTCTATCCACTGCATTACTTGAGAGATAAAAGTTTTTACATGCATCAGTTATGCAGGCCCTTGTTGCACTCTGATTTGTTCTTTTATTTCTGGATATATCAACTATAAAAAGAATTAGGAACAAAATTCGTTTAGTACTGTGCAATAGATAAAGGAGCCAAAAAAGCTTTATAATGTATAGCTTAAAAAGTTTTCAATGTAACTATTTAAAATAATTTGTATATTAGTAAATGCATCAAATGTATTGGTGCTTCAAACAATGAAGTTTTAATTCCATTCAACAGATTTGTTTGGTAAAGAAATAAAAAAAGACAAATGAAACATTCCAATCTGTTTAATATTTGTATGTAAAGAAAGTTTATTAGAATTATTAGATATATTCATTTTCTTTTCGCTTCTTTAGTTTAAAACAAGCAACAGAAATCCTTATTTCATTTTATTGCATATTTTCAATCATTGTTTCCATAAATTTGCTTCATGCTTTTTTAAATTCAGAACAAAAGCATTCAGAAATCAGATACAATACGATTGAAGACAATAAGAAAATAATCTATTTAATTTCATTTTCTTGCAATTCATCAGGAAATTACTAAATTTTAGAATTTTAAATCATACCTTATAGGTAAATCAGAGGTAGGCATGAGGGAGATAATCCTTACTTTTGAAATAATTTTCTAAATTTTACCACAGCAATTAAATATATATCCGTATTTTCAAGCTAGTATCGAAGTACTTAGCTACTGGGCGGTAGAGACCCTCAAGGACTAACAGTCAACCAGCAGAGGCCCCGGCACAGGGGTCATAATGTAAATCTTAAACGGTACCAATTTTTATGCACCAGATGCGCGTTTCGAAAAATTATGTCTCTTCAGTGATGTTCATGCCGAAACTTTGGAAATCCGAAATATAGAAATAAAAAAAATACTTGAGGAGTAGAAGAGAGGTTGTGCAAAAGACTGGAGCCAAATACGTGGTATGTCTTTAATATGCGTGGGTCATTTGATTGGCTGCTGCAGAGTCGCGATGGCAGATCAACGAATCAAAGTTTATATTATGTATGCATTTTTGGCCAAGACAAAAACTTTTTCCGTAGTTAACAAATAAATCCAATCACCGGTGCATTTTCGTCCTTTGAGAAAGGTACTTCCGTATAATTTTTGACTGGTATTTAATGCCAGTGATCTGTCCGATTTGTCCTTCATCGTTTTAAAACAATATATATATATATATATATATATATATATATATATATATATATATATATATATATATATATATATATATATATATATATATATAATTTTGCACATTGTTGGGAAATGTATTTTGGTCAATTTGACATGATAAGGTTGTAATTTGGATGACATTTGGATAAAGCGTTTAAAGGATGTTCAATATTGGTGGTCGAAGCAAAGCATTTTTTTACTTTTAAAAATAGCATTGTCAGCGATGTGTTCTCTCTCTTTTTTTTTTGCCAGGCTATACGGAAATATAGATCTGGCATGACAAAATTTACAATTTGTAAAAAAAAGTTCTTAATAATTTTCATCATAAATGACAGAATAAATGTTATATGCACAAACACTTTTCGTAAGATATTGTCAAAATTGGCAACGTCGGGCAATAATGTGGAGCAACATGATGCGCTATACGTACTGTGTTAAGCGGGTATAACTCGTGTCCATACGGGAAGAGAGATGAAAATGATGAAAGGACACTGACACATGTCTCAAATACTGGTTTATACCTGGCAAAAGAGGTTAAAGGATGACTGTATGGGTTATGCAATGGAGGAGGCGATAAACTGTAAAGTCAGTCATATTGTTCCCCGCTTACACTGAAAGCAGACATGCCTACCCTTCCGCTTTTGGCGTAATTCTTCCGCTCTTTACCACGATATTACGCTGTTACGCCATTTAAATAAATTTCTCGCTTTTAAATTTGTTATCTAAACAAGTCTCTTTAAGAACGGATAACTTTGTAATTCTTCCGCTCTTTACCACGAAATTACGCTGTTACGCCATTTAAATAAATTTCTCGCTTTTAAATTTGTTTTCTAAACAAGTCTCTTTAAGAACGGATAACTTTGGAGTTAAAGTACGACACGCAAAAATGAAAATGAGAAGTTCAATAACAGTGATAATTTATAGAGAGCTTCAGTTTTTTAGGATATAATTATTAACGATGAAGATAACCTACGTAAGGTAACCGGTAGTTATAATATAGGTTTTTAACGGATGGCATTCCAAAGATTTGAAAAGGAAAAAAAGAAGGGACTATGTAACTATACAAATGATATGTGCAATAAGTACAGCAAGTTTACTTTTCAATTCTGTTTATTTTCACATTGCTTAGAACATAGTGACAATGAATGTAAAAAAACCCCCTGTAATAATGTACAATTTGTATCAAAATTGAAATGAAACTCCTAATTATGTGATTTGCGAGAAATTAACCAAATGCTTCATTAAGGGTGTAAGGTTGACATGTTTGATACGACTGCATTTAGGATACCGATGTTCTATTTTTACATATTACATGGACTTTGTGTTACATGTAAGAAAATGGTGGATATTATTTTGGATCTGTCTGTCCATTCGTCTGTATTTCTGTCTGTGTTAAACTATCGTTTCCGAGCGATATCTAGAGAAGCCTTTAAGCTTTTGCAGTGACATTTAACATCAGAACTCCCTATGGCATACAGAAGACCCCTATTGATTTTGAGGTCAAAAGGTCAAGGGCATAACTTCATACATTCTGTTTTAACACTTTCGTTTCAGGGCGATATCTCGAGAAGCCTTTGAGTTTTTGCAATGAAATTTTATAGCACAACGTCCTTTGGCCGAGGGAAATCCCCTATTGATTTTGAGGTCAAAGGTCATAATTCATACATTCTCTCTGTGTGTAACACTTTCGTTTCATGGCGATATATCAAGACGCTTTTGAGTTTTTTGCATAAAATTTTATACCATAACTCCCTATGGCCCCGCTTGCCCCTCTCAAAGTGTCTCTCCCCGTTGTTGTTTTTTTTTTTAAATTTATTTTGACCAACTTTTTTTTTTATCAAAAGTCAATTGGAATTTTGTTGGCTTCGATCACGCTCAAAGGTTTAGAGTTATTCCCCGTTTGTAATAAAAGTCGCGTGGTACTTTTTTATTGCATAAGAGCACACTGTAAAAAATGTGTTTAGGATCTAAACACTTTTCTAAACACTATTTATGTAGACAGATTTTTAACATGTTTAAATCCTAAACACATTTAAATTCTAAACATGTTTTGAAATGTGTTTAATTTCTAAACATGTCATAAGGCTCATGTTTAGGACTTAAACATGTTGAGAATTACACATGTTTAGGGTTTAAACATGTTAAATACACAATCAATATTAAGGAACATATAATAAAAATAACGATCATATTATGATCCTTGTGATATATAAATTTGTCCAGTGTCATTATCATGGTTATATAAATCACTAAGAATTTCAGAGATATTATATTTTATTATTGAGAAGTTTGATTTGAAAATTTAAGCTAAAAAAAATTGGTACAAATAGTCATGCATTCCATTTACTAACATGTACAAAACATTCATATTTTTTGGACACAATTTCTTTGAAACAGGTATATTTCAATAATAAAACTCATCTGTAAAAAAGAGCTACTGGTAGGTATATGTACTTTTAGAAAGAATAATGTCCAATATTGCCAAATTGACAAACATGTACGAAGATCCATATGGTATGTTACAAAGTCACTGAAAGGGTGTTTCAGTCATCAAATTCCTTTGTAAATTTGAGATAATTGAAACTTTTCGCAAATTTGTTCTCTTTGTCTCCTAAAATATAAAATTGTACAAAACCAAGAATTTGAAAATATTTGGGGTACGATAAGTCCCAAGCATAATAGCAGAACAATAGCTCTGTTAGAGCTTTCTTAAGATCAGGAGAGCATAAAATCTCTAATCCCCCTCCAATTATGAAACAGTTCATGATGTTGTTCCTCTCATCTTGAATAACCATCAACCTTGGTGGATCATCTCTCTTTGTTTTCAGTGACATGTCGTTTTTCTATTGAAAAAATAAAATACAATTCAATAAATTTTAAAATCTTCAAAATGTTTCAATCTTAAATTACATGAACTTGGGTAACAGTCTTATTTAAATACAAAAGAATTGTTAGATAATCAAGGGGTAAGCTGAATAAGATCTTTAATATGGTCTTTCACACACACACACACACCCTCACAAACATATATATGCATACATATAAATATATTTACCTTACACACAGTAATTAAAGGCTGTTTGGTCCCCTTCTTTTGTTGGCACTTAATCTTTTCTTCAAGGTTTTGAAGAAGGTCTAATATGTCAACCTCTCTATCGTTTTCCCTGTCGTCTGCCTTCAGTAAAGAAAATGATTCAATTTCTAAATCTGATATATGATGTTGAAACATTTCAAAAAATATATATGTATTACATGTTTATAGTGAACATCAAAGAATTTCTGAATGAAGCAGAAAGAAAATACATTTCATCATAATACATGACAATGTCTACCTCATCACTAGATCGCCCCAATAAATCATCCAGTTTCTGCAAAACATCAAGCCAACGATCTGCATAGTTCTGAAGGTCTGGTTTCATCATTTTGAACTCTTTTTCAATCTAAAAAAATCAGCATTCATTTTACTTGAAAAAGTTACAATTGATAAAGTAGTTTTCATATATGACATTTAATTTTAATAACAAATACTTACAAACTCCACAATACCCAAGAAAGGATACTTTTTGATCAGGTCCCCACAATTCCCGTTGTGTTTCCTTTCTATAAAGGTTCTCCTTGCATGAAATGTTGCTCGTTGAGCTTTTGCCACCAATGCCCGATCAATCAATTTCACTGGTTTCTTAAATTCTTGCAACAGTTTCTTTTCAGCCTCATCCACATTCATATCCTCTATAAAATACATGTTAACCATACCATTTAATATTGATGACAATGTGAAAAAAAGAGTTCAACAGTATAAATTTAATATTTTTTGTTTAGACATAAGTATTAAAATTCATACCATCCAACACTGTAGCTGGAACTCTCTTCATCTTTTTAGCATCAGTCACAGGAGGGGCCTTGCTCCTTGCATTCCACCTCCACCTAATATTTCTAACCTTTTGTGATAATTTCTGATTGAAAAAGGTCTACAAAGAAAATTAACAATTCTTTTTTATATCAAATGTAATCATACAGGAATTTAAAAACAAGGTGATTCTAGGCACATGTGTAAGTGTAATTTCATGAACTACAAACCCAGGGTTCTTTTAGTGACTTATGTCCGATGCATGGGTATTTAGTAGTCATCAGCCGTCCGAAGTCTGCATATAGTCCTCTAGACTCAAAATTGCCGACAGAAAGTACATGATAGGCTGTTTCCTCAATGAATTTGTCCCATTCTTTCATGATTTCTCCAGAATCAAGCAGAGAGACTATCACTGGTGAATAAGCTGGGACATACATCTCCACTGGTTGTGGTTCCTGACAATCACTCTTTGCCTTAAGATTTGAATGCTGGAAAATGTATAAAATGCATTAAAATATACGATGTTAATTTTAAAAACAAAAACAAAATAATACGACAATTTTTACTATGTTTACAGTACATGTTGTAATGATACAGGTACAAATAAAATTTCAGAAAAAAAAAAACTCACCGAAGTTTTGGAGGTTCCTGGTTCATCTAAGGGTATTTCATGATTAACGATTTGCCTTGGTGTTTCTTCATCAGTGGACAATTTTTGGTCTTCCTTAGTTTTACATGTACTTTGTATTTCTTTGACAAGAACTGTTATTTTTCTCGCTGGCCCAACTTTGGTTGGCAGCATTGCAAAGACATCTTTTTCCTCCATATGCAAGAGACTAAATCCATCAACTTCATTATCTGGAATTTAACAATGTACCTGGTTGAACATATTCAATCCCAGCAAAAGTCAACATTTGCAAGCATGATGAATATAGTTCCGTTTATGCTATGCATAATCTGTGGCCACTTGTACTTTAGGTCTTGAGTACATATGCAGACTGTTTCATTCTCACTAACTACTTTGCATGCAAAAGCATTTACACTTCTGTCATAAAACAAAATTTCAAGTCTAGAACACTCCAAGTATTTTTTGTTGTTAAAAATAAACATATGTTTAATAATTAAAAATGCTATGTCTCCTTCTGCATAATCTTCAATAAGCACACTTCCAGGTCGATATGTAATTCCTTTTATTTCAATTTGGTTTGATTGTAACACTTGCTGAGCTTCGAATTCTGGATTATGAATAAGAAGAGTGTTTCTGACTGTGTCTGAAAGCTGCTGTACATGCCATTCGACTCCATATGAAACTGAATCCCCAGTGTACAAGTACACCTCTGTCTTTCCATTTGATCCACACTGTTGCAAACACATCCATCGCTGATGATGAAGGGCAACTGATAATGGTAATTCTTTGAAGTTTTTCCACTTTTTATTCTTGAATAAACCATGCTTTGCTTCCATTCTCATACACCAGTGGTTTCTGGCTGGACCAAATTTCAATATCTGATCTGGAAAATGTATCAAATAATGAAGTTTTGGTGTAAACAGGACTTCAGGGTAGAGTTTTCTGAAGCTATAGTTGTGAGAATATATCAGTTGCCTAAGAGACATGATAGTGTTACTTGATGCAACTGGAGATATCACTAATAAAGTTATCTTCAAAAGTCGAATAAAATTTTTCCAATTTTCATCATCTTCTTCAATTTCATTTCCTATCATAAATGGAAGAAGAGTCATAAAGTTTTTGGTTTCCACAGCAGACATAGGAAAATTTTTTTTTATATCAAGTGCTTTCTTTTCAAGTACTTGCGGTTTATCAGCTCCCTCTTCCACAGTATAAGAAAAGTTTTTTATCTTCCTATTTAAATCTCCTAAGGTAAAATATTTCTTCTTCTCTATAAATGAAGTAAGTAAAAGTTGCAATTCAAGTTTTACAATGCCTTCTAGAAGCACATGCATTGGGTCTTGTAAAATGCACTTTGTAACCTCAAATTCTGGAATATCTAGCAACTCACTTCGTCTGCTTACTCCATACTTCTTTGACCAGTACTGCAGAGTTTTTCCTTTTAATTCTTCAAGTATTCCACAACGGTCTCTATGTTCTTCTTCATTTCGTAATTTTGAGACCCTGTCTGAAAAACTGTAGTCTATATTTTCAAGTGATACTTCACACACTCTGCAAGGCTTTTCTGCATTTCCTACACCTTCTTTAAATCCTCCCAAGTACTGGGCAGCAGGTGTATCTCCAATAACACAGTATAATGTTCCATATACAGTTTGAATTTCACCATTAATAGTAAGGACTTTTCCTCTGTGGAGTTCCTGCATTGAATGAATAAAGTCTTCAAACAAGGCCTTCATTCCATATTTTTTCAGGTGAGTGGCTTTAGCTATTGCTAACAACTGAGTAGCTGCTGATTTATAGCGAAATTCAGGTGTGATATTTAATAAGGTCCAATAAAATATTGAAAGTTTATGTTTTTTCTTATGAGAGCCTATGGGGTTCACTATCTCAAAATCATCATAATATATGCAAAAGAGCAAAGCATTTCTGTGATCTTGGAAATATTGTTTTTGATAATATGATCCATCATAAAAGTCATTTATTTCAAAAGTGTTTTCTGTTTCTTTATTTAGTTCGTCTTTGATCTCTGGCATTTTTAGTAATTCAGCAAGTTGTTGAAACAATGGAATATAATAGCCATAATGCTCTTTTTCTACAAAACGGTATTTTTGTTTCAACCTTTTTTGGATAAATTCACTACCAAGTTTGACTGGTACAGGCTTAATATATCCTAATTTATCTCGAAAATACCTTTCTCTTAAGTGTTGGGTCTCCAAACCACAAAAGGATGCATCTCTGAATATTTGATTAAAATCCAATTGAAGGAAAATATTTTCAGGAATATTCTTTGACAACTCTAATTTTATCATATTGCTTTGCTCATTCAACATAAGTTTTGTCGAAGTTATTATATCTTCAATAGCTCTTTGAGATAAATTATGATCTGCAATCATTTTCAAAAGAAATTGAGCTTCTGATCTTTTTCTGTCTTGTTCAGGGGTTAATTCTTCATTACTTATATCTTCACATGTAAAAGACATCTCTTCAGTTGTTGCTTCTTCATCACTTTCAATTTCACTGAGTACATCAGAAGAATGTTTTCTGTATAAGTGTTGAGAGAAACTTCTAATTTTGTTAAATGAAGAACCACATCCTGGTTTACTACAGTGAACTTTAAATTTTGGCTCATTCTTATGACGTCGGACTAGGTGTTGCAGAATTTCTTCTTTTGTTTTTCCAAAATATGGACACATGCTGCAGTTGTACATGTATGTGGCACTCATTTTCCCCTGTTATGTGTATCCAGTCTGCATGCACATGCAAAATGCTAACCTACAAAGATTTTAGTAACTTTGTTAAATTAGAACTACTTCTAATTGACAGGAAATTTCATATGCAGATAAATTAACGATTACATGCAATTTAAAAAAAAATGATTGTTTACATACCTTTCAATATCTGACTTGTTTCTCTGCTTACACCTGCTTGAATTAGCCATTGATAAACTTCATCAATTGAGGATTTGTCTGTCAAAGCCATGCCTAAAAAAGACAGTGTCTTTGGGAAATATTCATATTATATATATATATATATGAATTTAGTGATAAAGTACAACATGAAAAAAAATGACTCAAAGATGAGATTAATGATAGAATAAATAATTAAATATTCATAATACAGAATTTTAAAAATGTGAAAGAATACCTTACTGAAATTAAAATATAAATCAAAGGGGCACCAGTTTGATTTGCTTTTAGAATAATTAAACTGAAAATTCATTATTATAATAAACATGAATGGTAAACATACTTGTACAAATATTATTTTCTTTTAATGAGGTCACAAAATTTACTGTGTCATGAAGCAAAGAAGACACATCCTCTTGATCCAAATTTCTGAGTTCTTTAAATGTCTGGACTAAATTTACTGCAAGATTATCTCTCTCCTCATCTGAATAGTCAACTATATTTGTATTTTCTTGATCTAATTGTGGAATGACATTATTTCTCTGTGCTCTTGGAAGAGGCTTAGTAACTTTGTGATTTTTAATAAAATCATGAATTTCTGAATGAAAATCCTGAACTTTTTGCACAAGTCCTTGGGTCTTCCCATCAAACTGTTAAAAAAATAATGAGGAAAAAATATTTTAATAGCTCCACGACCAGTTAGTAAAATCAGTATATTTCACTACATAGCTAGAATTACCTACCATAGCTTTATTTAGCTACTTCAATGCATTTTTTTTTTTTTTTTTACAATTTTGCTTTTTATTTAAAAAAGACAAAAAATTCAGGTACTGTATACAATTACTAGTATTTAAACTCAGAATGAAAAAAAAAAAACAATCCAAAGTAGAGATATATAGTTTAAACATTGCTGCATCTCAACACTTTTTAGCAAAATAGTTATTTCTATTGCTTGAGCAATTGTCCACCACACTGAGTCATGGATATAAGTATGATTGCATCACAATGTGCTGAACAATTGCCAATCAATTATCATGTTAAGCAGAACTGGTCTTCTTTTTTATTTCATATGTCATTTCATTCAAGAAATAACTGTTTGGTCACAAATTAACCATTGTATTTAGTCAAAAAACTTTTAAAACTTTGATTGCAATTGCACAGAAAAAGACACATCTTCAAGAGTGATTTTTCATGATTTGTTTACAGATGAGTTCAACGTTAAAAATATTATCAATGATCAACATGATCAATGTGTAATTTTCTGTACATCCTGAGAAATATGCCAATTCAACAAATAATTTTGAATTAGTAGCTAAATGAAGCTACTTCAGGGAGGTAAATATAGCAATATACGTATTTAAACCATGTAGCTAAATCAGTAAATATAGTGATTGTACCAGACCTGTTTAAGTATGTTTGTAAACCTCGGAATCATCATACAAGCGATAGCTGTCCTATTTGATCGTGCAAGCCTCCTTCAAGGGGGGTTATACAGTTATCAATATTATATTTCTATTATTAACAAAGTGATTGAGGCGAAATCTTTGCCAAAATCGTCCCCCAATTCCAATCTCATGAATCTGCGAAGACATGATGTTGACATAATTTAAATTCTAACAATACCGAACCCGACTGATATTGGAACTCGAGCACGATTACAATTAAAATACCGAATCAATTTAAAAGTGAATACTCCGTCAATAATACAGTTTATGAATAGGCGATCCAAATGCATTCAAATTTTAAAAATAAAAATCTGACATAGCCACATATTTGGGGACTGGAACGCACTCATAAAACAGATACACAGATCGAAAACATGCTTAAACATCAAACAAATCAGCCTTAAAATTCAAATTTAAACATTTCTTGAGTTTTAACAGGCAATAAAGCAACAACAAAAACGATAAAAAAATATCTGTGATATACATGACTTAGTTTCCTTTACCTCCATTCACCACAGTCTTTGTATTACCACTGGCTGTTTGGTTCTTTGTGTTCATCTGGCGGGAATGAAAGAGCGCGCTATGGAAAAACACTATAACGGAAGTGACGAATATCTAAACGTGTTTAGTTTGTAAACGCGTTTAGAAAGTAATGCTTAGGTTACATTATGATGGAAGTGACGAAAATCTAAACACGTTTGGTTTTTAAACATGTTTTAAAAATGGTGTTTAAGGTTTCAACGCATAACTAAACACGTTAAGCCTGCAACATGTTCACCATACGTTTAAACTCTAAGCGCATTTTTTACAGTGCATGTGGAGAGTTATTACATATAACACAGGTTGTCGGTGGACTCGAACACACGACCATCCGATCACGGAGCAAGCGCTCTACCGACTGAGGTACCGTGACGGTGACAGTATCGAACTTGTTAAGAACGAAAAAGTAGCCGTTATAAGAACAGTGGGTTTTTGTGATATTTTCAAACAAAGCACAAGTACCTATTTTTTAATGGTAAGTCGCGGTCGTGATTCGAACACACGACCTCAGATCACGGAGCGAGCGCTCTACCGACTGAGCTACCGTGACATTGAAAATATCGAACTTGTCAAGAACGAAAAAAGTGGACGTTATAAGAACAGTGGATTTCTGTGATATTTTCAAACAAAGCACAAGTACTTGTTGGTCAAACAAGAAATATATATTTAGAAAAAGGCCAAGGAAAAGTGGTGAATTACAGGTAAAGCACCAATATGCACAAAGTATTTGGATCCTCGCCCAATTTCATACAAGCAGTTATGACGTGTGGCGTGCACAAACGTTCTCATAAAATCATTATTACAGTGTGATATATTTTTTTTTGTATAAAAAAGAATCTTCTGTACACATTTTAAAGAATAAGAAATTAAGTCTACATTTATCCAAATTAGCATTTACAATGTGAGAATTTTGTATAAGAAGATCGTTATGTAGACAGTAATAGAAAATAAAAAATAAAATCCCCTACCTGCGACAATTTTGAAGCAAATAGGACTAAAATCTAACTTTAAATTTATGTGGCCTTAAGGCCCAAGCTGAAATTTATCCATTTATCTTCCAGTCGCAGATCCGAGGTGTCCGCCCGAGTCAAAAAAATTCCAACCAAAAAAAAAAAAAAAAAACAAAAAAACAAACAAACAAACAAACAAACAAAAAAGGAATAAAAAAGAGAAAAGAAACAAATATAAATAAATTTTAAAAAAAACAATAATAATAATTTAAAATATATTTAAAAAAAATAAAAACCTAAAGTTCTTCATTTCCTAAACATATCCAACCCAAGAAATATCTTGAGAAGGAAAAAAACCCTGAACTCCTTTTTTTTTAAATCGTGAAAACCCTGTTTCTAAACAGGTGTCCATGTTTTCGGGGGATGGGGTGCAAAGTCATTTTTTTAAATTTGCTTCACTATATACATTTAATAACTCTGCAAATCTCCTCTTGATGAACGCATGCTCCTCTTTTTACCCAAAACGGAGGACACAATTTCTTTGAATAAGCTTGTTTAACTATGCGAGCATTCAGGTTTATGATCGTGGTTGGGAAATTATTTAATAAAAGAATTATTTTCTCGATCTGTTTGGTATTCTGCGTAAAATTCTTCAAAAAAAAAATTTTTTTTAACTTGTCTTATTCTTCCCTGTATATTGGTTTTGATTAAAACCTTATTTTAGCAGTCTTTGAAAGGAAAAACATACAGTGTAGTGTTGGGCGTGCCACAAAGTGTATCTCTCTCTCTCTCTGTCTCTCTCTCTCTCTATATATAGATATATGACTATTGTATCTAAATTAAAGGATATGATACCTATCGCAAAATTCAAAATGATAAACACATCTTTGGTTGATATAAAAGATTTCCTAATTGGTTAATGTCCTTCCTTCTAAAAGGGTCTAAATTAGAAGTAAAATGCATTAAAAAACATACGCAAATCAGCCTACTGTACGTATAGATGTATTCTTAAATGTACATTCATAAAACTTCACAGATTGCCATCCATTATAATTAATTGTCATAATGTATAGAAATCGGACTAAATGCATTCGGTTAACTTTATTCTTAAACTTAATGACAGACATTACATAGGTGAAAATAGTTAAAACGTGTGAGGGAGGGGATAAAAATTACTGGATGGTAAATGACAAGTCAAAATTTCTGAAAAGAGGCATTGTGAAAGTGCGAAAGGACGGGGAGAGGGTGACTAGAAATTAAAAAAAAAACAATCTGATTTAGAGAATTTGTGTCCCCCGCTTAAGAAAAAAAAAAAGAATAGCATTCGCAGATCTAGGGATTTGCAGAGTTATCATATTGTATATACTGAAGCAAATAAAAAATGCTATTATAGATACATATAGATTTGATTGTTCATTCTTTAAAATGTGTACAGAAGATTCTTTATATAAAATATTTATCGCACTGTAATAATGATTTTATTAGAAGGTTTGTACACGCCAGACGTCATAACGTCATTTAGTACATCGAAAAAAAAATTTTTAAAAAACATACGGGACCTTCCGGGATTTGAACTCGAGACATCTGGCATCAAAAGCGAGAATAATACTCCTAGACCAACGAGGAATTAGACATTGATGCAATTCAAATGCAAAAAGCAGTTCACATATTTATAAAATAGAGCCATTATGAAACAATACTGGAAATTTTTTTCCATCTTCCAATTTTCATGAAGGTCACAGGAGCCTTCTTAACATGGACAGTTGTAAAATCCGGGGGAGACGTCATTAGGTATGTCACGTCACGTTGTTGGAGCATCTCACCCTTACGTTCAAATCCACTTAGACATTCTAAAGAAAGCTGCATTCATTTCTCCATTTCTGTTCTCGAGAAAAGCCTGAGTACCTATCTCGCACCCACTTTCTTTTTATTACGATCAATTTTCAAAATACGCTCCATCGTTCCACGTGATGTTCCTATTTCATTAGCAATGTCAACCACAGTACGTCGGCGGTCCACGTCCATTAGCGCTCTCAATTTGTATACGAAGAAAAAACGACCTTCAAATAGGTGGCCACACCTTTCATCCTCCTCCACGGAAGTTTTATTTTCCTTAAATTTCTCACGCCACTGGAAAGCCAATGGCTTACGGCACTTTTGTCCTGCCTGCATCAGTAGTATATGCTTTTAAGTCGGAGTGTTCCCGAGATTTTCACAAACCTTATTACTTGACCGAATTTCGACGTTGTCTAACGATGTCATGATAAACAACAATTCATCAATAGAAAAACTAAATAATCCAGTAAAATCGATAAAACTTTCACAAAAAGGTTTATAAGTGGTCAAGCAATCTTAATAATGACATCATTTTCGTTTCATATGCTAATTAACGTGTTTTTACCTCACAGTGAATGTTAAGTATTGAAATAATAATGGACAAATAAATGTCTCCCCCGCATTTTCAAAAATCCGTTTCTATGGAAAATGTCTCAAGAAGAGAAATCATACAATTTCAGTGTTTCTTTCGGAAGTGATTCCAAGATGTGATGCGGATGTTACTGAAGTAAATGAGTGCATAAAATATATTTGTGAGGAATATGGTGCTACGCTTATCGAGACCAGCAAATCATTCAAGCACTGGAATTCCCCTTCCTTTTGGAGAGATGGCATTCACTTGGCTGATCGCGGTACTACTTTGCTTCTTAAGC